CGCAGCCACCTTCACCACAACATCACCAACCAACCGTCAATACCAGTCGTATTGCCTCATTGCTTGCCTCGTTGGTCCAGATGTGCAGTGTGTACTGCCCACATCAACGTATATAGGCCGCCAGGTGAGCCGACAAACCACACGACTACTGCTCTCCTAGGATACTATCCGCCAGAAAGAGCCCTTATAGCAGGGGACTTTAACGCCCGCCACCCTACCTGGGAACCAGGCTCCCCTAGCCGGAATCGGGGGGACGATATTGCAGAGTGGGCTGAAGGCTACGATCTTTCGTTTATTGGGGAGGTTGGGGTCCCTACCCATACTCATAGGCATACCCTCGACCTAACATTCTCAAATATCCCCTTTACAGAGGCCTATATCAGCCCACACCTACACCCAGGGGCAGACCACCAGGCCATTATAACAATTATTCCTCTAGGCAAAGTCCAGGTATAAAGACGCCAGATTAGCCATCTCTCAGTCCCAGACACGGCCCTACCTCGACTTGCCGACTTAGTAAAGGTAGGAGTCTCAGCCCTACCTACCTTAAGGGAGAAACCTACTCCAGCAGAAATAGACTCCCTAGCTACCCAACTAGTCAGCCTCCTCTCTACAGCTATCCAGGCGGTAGGAAACCTGGTATGCAGGCTTATACAGACCAGCCTTAAGTAACAACACCAATACCAGTAGTGGTACTACTATGCAGATAGCTACTATAGGTACGGGACAGAAGGGCCTGGTCCGCAAAGTCGGGAAAGTTATTTCAGCAGCGGCAAGGGCTATCCTACCTGTCTGGAGGACCACACCAACTAGCAGCCTCCTTCGTGAGGCTGGCCTGCCCACAGCAGAGGTTGCCCTCGAGGCAGCACGACTACGCTTTGCTACGCGGCTACAGAAGGTTGACCAACAACATCCCTTGGTCCCAAGGCTCTGGCAGCAGGGGCGGCAACGGACAAGACTTCAAAGAACAGCTGGCCTCTTACCTAAATGCCCAAGGCCTTTACTCATACAGCCGCAATACCCCCCAGGCTCACAAGACCTCATAGCCCTAGATCGTAAGGAGGATGTAGCTAAAGCCTTCCAAGCCTGGCTCAAGACCGTACCAGACAATCATATAATCGTCTACTTAGACGGCTCTAAAACCGCTGATAGGGCCACGGGGTTCGGCTTTGTTATCTATCGCAAGAACAGACGTATAGCCCAGGGCTACGGCCGCCTCGGCTTAGCAGAGGTGTTTAACGGTGAGGCGGAAGGGGCGAGGGCGGGGCTCCGACGGGCCCTCTATACCTCTCAGGGCCAGCCGATATATATCTACATCGATAATACTAATGTCATCCAGGGAATCCGTGGCAAGGTCCCAGACTCCTCACAAGCTGCCTTCTTAGAGATCCAGGAGGTAGCTAGGATATACGATATACGAACCCATTAATCCCCGGGGCACCAAGATATTAAAGGAAACGAAGAAGCAGACAGCCTAGCTAAGGAGGGAACAACTCTACCAGTCCCTAGGGGCCAATTAGCTACTCTATCAGGTATCAAGTGGCTTGCTAAAGAGCGGCCAAGACGCTAATATAGACGATGGTAGAAACAAAAGGCAACTCCCCGCTATACCCAACTAGGGCTCAAGGCTACCCTTGCTTGCCCTCCTGAACTTAGCCTCCCTGGGGCTGCCGTTCATCACCTCCTCGCGGCACGGTCAGGCCACGGGGACTTTAAACAATATCACCAACGCTTTAACCACACAGAAGCACTACTCACCTGCTCCTATGGATAGGTTAAGGAAGCAGACCATCTAGTCTACTGCCGAAAGACCCCACTGAGGAGGCAACAGTGGCCCACCCTCTACCCCTACAGCCGCCAGGAGCCCGTAGGACCTATAGGGTCCCTCGATCGCTACTTCAAGGGGCTAATCACTGACTCTGAAGGCTTCCAGGCCTTCCTCTGCGTGACAGACTTCTTCCAGAAGATCTGCCCGCGGTACTAGGAGATAGGTCATAACCTATCCTCCAAACGACAAACTACCTCTATTAAGAAACCAGATGGTTATAACGGAACTAGGGCACCAGTGGGAACTAGGGATGGAAAGAACACATAGTAGCTCACGAGCAAGATTTGGAGGACGTCAGGATACGGCGTGTACTATATAGTATATAGCTAGAGCCTGCGACCCTTCACGCCACATACCCTCCGGGAGGTCGGCCGCAAGGGCGGCTGCGCCCTTGCCGCCATGGCGTTAAATATAAAACAAACAAACAAACAAACATGCATGTTCGATGAGCTTTCAAGTCTGGTAAGAATGCTCAGTGAAATTGATTTGATACGCCTATTAAAAAATCAAGGATAGCTCATGTGGTTTGCTGATATTAATAATTCACGAATCCTCGGGTTCGTATTGGCATCACGAGGACTATATTGAGATCGGATGTAGGATGGCCCGTGAGAAGGGGTGTCCTTACTTTTATGCTCTAAACTCCATGCCGCCGAGTACTAGAAAACACTTACACCGATCATAGGTGCTCCGGTACCTTCCCATGGGATGAACACCATTTTTGTCTTACTACCGTGTATGGCTAAATAGATCGTCAGAAACCTTCGAGGTGAATAGCCGACCCATACGTCTATGCGAGTCTTCGGCAACAGCCGGGCTGATTCGATAGTCGATTCATACGCGGGCACTAGGATTCTTCAGTTCAACAGCAAGTTATCAAGTAAACTAGTCAGAGAACAGCATCCTCAATGCTCAATCTTATCTCTTACTACTCATTGCCATCTTCATGGGTTTGACTGCTCGCATTCGTGTACCTAGCCTACGTTGTCGATTCGCCAGCCTGGTCATCCTAGTTAATCAGACATGGATGATAGGCCATAGGGATTCACTCTGATGGAGCATGCCCGTGCATAGAGGGACTCTGCTCAAGGCATCTCCGCCCCCCGTTGAAGTAAAAGGAGGCATCGAAGACTCCGAGGCCAAGTGCATGTGCCAAGCTCTCCTCCCACCTCTGAGACGTGTGGGGGGTGGTCGAGGCCCTTCTGGCATCTTGGGGTACTGTACTACTGCCTGCGTGACCACGATGCAATACCTTGAGTAGACGCTTACCGAAACCCTCGAGAGACGATTATATAATCATCAATACTGAATTATAGACTCGAGTAGCGGGACATAGAAGCAGGAGCTTGGAGCGACAAATTGACTTCATGAGAGAACAGAGTACTCGGCGTCCAAAAAAAACATCAATTCCGTTCCAGCACATTTGGCATTTAGCCCAAAAGACCTCTGGAGACGCCAAGTCGCATGATGGCGCTCAGCTAAGCCTGTTCCTGCAACGTGGGAAAACTTTAAGGCTGAGGTGATCTTGGCAGTCGGCCTTTCTCCGAGAGGTCGGCCTCTGGTTTTACGATTAGTCGGCGGCGCTGCGGACAGTCCCGTCCCCCGGACTCCGTGAATCGGCCGACATGGTGTTGTGGGAAGCTTTACAAGTCATGACCAATTGAAATACAGATGCCATTTCAGGTCGGCCTTTGAAGGGGTTTCGTTGGCTTCTACCATCAAGGCATGAAGGCCGCGCGCTTAATCCTTGGAGTATCAAGTCGCAAATACACCGCTGCCAAGGCCCCCTGTCAGAAGTTTGGGTGCTGGGTTAAGCTTGGTCACTAAAGACTCCGTGACCCGCCGGCGGCCTATTCCCCGAATGAGCCTATTTTGGAGGTGGGCAGCGGTCTAGAATGGCTGCTCGAGTCAGTGAGCATACTTTTTTTTAGCAGCCTGCCAGCACTTTGTAGCGTAAGCGAGGAAGCACGCTGTTTCATTCCAAGCCCGCAAACTCCGACGGAAACAACCAATAATTGTGTTTCGGGGGCCTTTGATGGGAAACCTCAAGAAAATGGGCAGACTCTCTCTAGCGGTTATGATTTGATTCTAGCAAAGTCCCATGGAGAGTGACAAAACAGTATAGAAAATGATTCTTAGAACAACAATGAGGTAGAACATGTCGATATGTTCTAGAAGACTAACAAACCACCTTTGTGCTGTGTTCTTGAAGTCCCACATCGCTCGTCACCCAAAATAGCTTGTTGTAAAACCACTTTACAAAATAGCAGATCATCTCATATATATGTCGTCCGTCAAGGTCACCCGGCCCAACATGGGTACATACTCTAAACATGGGGCTCTTGGGCCAGTTAAGGTAGTCAGTAGGGCTGGGTGCGTGTGGGGAACGTCACATGCACAGAGGGGCAAAGTGCCAAGAAACAGTGCATTGCGTGACTGGCCTTGACATACTCAGCTCTTTTCAGCAGGGCCAAGCATTATCATTCAGCTTTTCACGGCAGAAATAGGTAGTACTATCGGCCTTGGTCAGAATGGCCGGCCGCCGAGCCGCAGCATCCCAAAACAGCGTGGGGATAGTCTTAGGTCAATCAATATGAGATTCACGGAGCCATCCAGCCGAAGGGTGTTCGGACGCCACAAGCAATCGAATACCGCGCCGAGAGTCCGGTAGGACTGACGACCTTGTCTTCTTTGCCTTAGAGGGCCTTCAATAACGTCTTCAAAGTTTTCCCCTGAATGTTCACTGCCCCCAATACGGAGTCTTGGACATCAATATCAGACAGGCCTCAATCTCGGGAGACTTGGTTAAACATCGTGGCCTGGCGACTGGTTGGCCTCGATGCCACTCACGGCCCTCAACTTGGTCAGGCCGACCAAAGACTTCTAGAAGTTTGTTTAATTGCTATTCTCAACGTGAGACGAGGATTATAAATGCTCAGCTGCTTGGCAGATGTTTTGGTGATCTTCAAGACAGTAATCAAGACATCATACAAGCAAAGCATCATCATCATCAGATATCCAAGTATAAAGAGCGAGCGTTTGTCCCTTTCAAAGCTATCTTTTCTTCTTCACCCATCGCATCACTTTCCTTCCATTCACTCAGACTCAACTTTCATTCGCTTTACAGCACACCCACATTCACTTTTCATTCATTTGATTCCCAACTTTCACAATGGTTTCTTTCAAGGTTTCCAACATCCTGGCCCTCGCCGCCGCCGTTGCCGCCGCGCCTACTGAGCTTCTTCAGTCCCGCGCCGTTGTAGCCCACGACTCCATCAGTCCCGTCGCTCAGAGAATCCAGACTGGCGGCCTCGGCAAGATCATCGAGACCTTCAACCCCCTGCTTCACATCGCCCACGGTTGCCAGCCGTACCCCGCCGTCGCCGACAACGGTGACACCAGCGGCGGTCTCCAGGACACCGGCAGCTCCACCGGCGGCTGCCGCGACCAAGCCAAGGGTCAGACCTATGCCCGCGCCGGCACAGTCGACGGCAAGACGGTCATCATGTACTCTTGGTACTTCCCCAAGGACCAACCCACCAGCGGTGACGTCGCCGGAGGCCACCGCCACGACTGGGAGAACATTGTCATCCAGGTCGACGACCCGGCCGCGGCTACCCCCAAGATCACCGGCGGCGCTGCCTCCAGCCACAGCGGCTACAGCAAGGCCAACGGCGCTCCTCTCATGGACGGCAACAGCCCCAAGGTTGAATACTTCACCACCTTCCCGACCAACCACGAGCTCCAGTTCACCCAGACCCAGGGCAAGACCTACCCCATCTCCGACTGGGATGCTCTCCCCGCCGCCGCCAAGACTGCTCTTCAGAACGCCGACTTCGGAAAGGCCAACGTTCCCTTCAAGGATGGCAGCTTCGAGAGCAAGGTCCGCGACGCTCTCCAATAGATGGGCACTACTCACACGGCACATCAACTTCACGAGTGCTTCTTGACGACTTTTATGAGTGTGTTCTTCGGTCGACCATTGTTGCGAATTTGGGATTGTTTTGATCTTAGCTAGCTTTTTCTGATTATCTTTCCAATACTATGAGTCTGAATTGTTCTTTCACAAATTTGAAACATCTCTTACGATTCCCAGTGACTTGTTGTGGCATGCTGAACGTTAAGTGATAGTTTCATCGTGAGCGCAATGCATGTCAACTCCAGGCTTCAAAAGTTCCTAAACTTATTTTCCCACATCCCTCATATTTGAATTTCTAACAAGGTGTCTCCGGTTATCTTTGTTATAGATATGCCGTTTCGAAGTTGTCAACTGCCTGTGTCGATGATCAATAGCTATCAAATTGACGACAGCTTTTTCTGCCCTCCGTGGAGTTTCCGCCCTGCGCATAAGACGCAAGATGGCCCGACCTCTCGGCCTGTGTCCACATGACACATGGAATATCCAACGCGAAGATCCGTTATCTTGCCGATCTCAGACGGGAGGCGATTGACTTTTCCGACATTGTGTTTGCTTGAGTTAAATTCTGCTCACTCTAGCCGTAGATCCAAAGCCCGACAGTTGGAACGAAGCCTTCAAATGTCCGATGTCGAACGACCCTAACCTGTCTCATTACTTAAGACTTAGTGAGTGTCTAGATGATGAATAGTAGGTGTGGTGCTTACTTTAGATTATACTCGAATCAATGAAATGTTCTTGTCACAAAACCTGTTTATTCCTCTTTTCTGGTTTGGTTTACACGTTGAGCTAGCCTCTGGTCTTAACGTCAAACCACCATGACCAGAGCGTATCCAGTGACTTAATACAATCCGTCGTCTTTAAATATTGCCCTCAAGCTTCAAAGCTATCCTATCGCAAGCTAGTTCTTCCACCATGCTCCCTCTAATCGAACCTGAAGAGGCTGGACCGGGTGTGGATCGGAGAACATTGACACTGACCTTGCACACGCCAAACTGGAAAATCACGCGAATTGAGACAAAAGATTCGCAAATAATGATACTGATTGGCACCGAACAGTCAGAATGCTGTCGGCTCGATCTTAATTAACGCCGAGAGTGTCGATTCACCATGGCGGGTGGATCTGCGTTTTCCAGCGAGTCAGTCCCACCCATCATCCCATCTTCGGCGGAGACGTTTAATTCCTCTTATCTCACGACTTCACCACCCGTGTTGACCTACGGCACTAGGCGCGTTGGTTGAAATTCATACACTCATTTCCACAATCCCACAACAATTGCAAGATGCCAATTAGCAGCGTGGTGGCCTACAATGCGGCCGTCTTCATCAGCACCCTCTTCCTCCTCGAGACCGGCGCCGACAAGTTTGTGGACCACACGGCCATCGTCGCTCGGCGCACCGGCATCCCGGACACCCTCATCGCGTTAGTCACTGCCGGCGCCGAGTGGGAAGAGGTAAGCCCCGCTGTGTCTTTCTTTACATGTCTTCACCATATCAGGTTCCCGGAGAACAGTCTCGACTGACAAACCACCACTAGCTCGCCGTGGTCGTCAGCGCCCTGGCGCAAGGCCGCGCCTCACTCGCTCTCGGCAACATTGTTGGCTCGGCCATCTCCAACATCCTCGGCGCCTTTTCGCTGGGTCTCCTTTTCCGCAAACAGGACGACGCGGTACAGTTTGATCGCAGCGCGCGCATCTACTCGCTTCTGCTGCTCGGCGTGACGACTGCCATTGTCCCCATCACGTACTTCCCTCGTGAACTCCTCTGGCGTGTCACCGGTATCACCTTAGTCGTCGCCTTCGTCGTCTATCTGCTCTCGATAGGATGGGCAATCAACCGAGGAACGCTGGTCGCACCGGAAGGCTCAGATAGCGGTAGCTCTAGCGACGAAGATGACACCTCATCTTTATCTTCAGACTCCTCCACCTCAACGCGAGGAGACGACCGTGCTCCTACGTCTTCGTCTTCGCAAGCTGAACCACAGACAACCGACACCGACGGCGAGCAACAACCCCTCCTCCGTCCCTCGGAACGCTTCCTCCGCCGCCGCCGCCGCCGCAGTCTGTCCTACCACATTGCCTACCTCTTCGCCGGCTTCCTCGCCATCTGCCTAGCAGGCTACATCCTCTCCCACGCAGCAACCAACATCGCCGACGCCCTCGGCGCCTCCGACGTCCTCTTCGGCATCGTCGTGCTCGCCATCGGCACGACTCTGCCGGAGAAGTTCATCGCCGTGATCAGCGGCCGGCGCGGGCACGGCGGCATCCTCGTGGCCAACACGGTGGGCAGCAACGTTTTCTTGCTGACGTTGTGCCTGGGTATCGTCATGGTGGGCACGGAGGGGGCACTGGGAAGCGCGGGGAGCGTCTCGGTTGCTGAGTTGGCTGTTCTCTGGGGGAGTACGGCTTTGTTTACGGGGTCGATGTGGTTGAGTGGCAGGGTTCAGCGGGTGGTGGGTGGTGTTATGTTGATTGAGTATGTCGGGTTTATTGTTGCGGAGTTCACTTTGTTACGGAGAACGGGAGACTTGTAGGTTGGCCATGTCCCAGGTCGCCTGGAAGCTAATTTATTCTGTGACGAGACCGCAGAAAGGATTGTAGAGCTTCTATTATTCGTCTTGATCGCGGCGGAATCACAGGATAATTCTTCAGCATCAGCTTGTATAGACAACTTGGTTGACCATCTCCGTCAAGTTACTGTCTACATCTTCACCCAGAGAACAGGCTAACAGCACAGATGGCATTACCTTCGCAATGTTTCCGAAGGTTTCTGAATCAGCTATAACTCAACAATATTAACCATCTGAACTGCTGCCACGATACCTATGGTGCAAAGCTGTGTATGATTGGACTATATTCGGCATGGAGGTAGTATTCAGCAGAATTGCACTTCAGGCAAAACTTAACTTGGCGTAACCATCGTCACTTATCAGATGAGCTTTTGCCCCCCCCCCCCCCCCCCCCCCCCCCAAGGGGTCATCTCCTCTTTGACCAAACCCTAGGAATTTGGTCACGGGCCTCTCTACAATGTAACATCACCAAGAGAGTTGGACTCCTTATGAATGACATCGCCTTTCCTGGAACTAGCAATAACTACCTTAAGGTACTAAAGCAATTTGAATCAACGTGAACAACCTGATTCGGCATACAAGTCAACCGTGCAACCGCGGACCTACGAGACTCCAGCCCAATTGAAGCTGGTCTTGTGAGATCATTGTTGTTCGTGGAACATTGGGTTCACATAGAAGATGGAGTATGCTCATACTGCAACGTAGCATTGGAACTTTCGATATATGAAGACCCGGCAAATGTCTGTAGGTGAACATCCGGTTGGCCAAAACAGAACCCCGTCTTGGCACCTCCCCATTTCAATTTGATCTTCCCCCAACTTGTGTTGAAATTGTGGCACGAATTACCGTTTGTGGCCATGCTCTAATCAATCAGTGCAGACGAAGCCTCTCTTGGAAAATGAAAGAGGCAACAGGCTAAATCCCCGCAAACTCGGTAGTTGAAGAATACGACCGACCAGATGCCGCATCATGTATGCTCGCTTGGCCGGCTTAAGCCCCAATGCTGAATGTGTTTAAAGATCTGAAAGTCATTTGTTGAGTCTTTGAGGTATAAATAGAGTGTTGAAGTATCGGTTTCAAGACAACTACAACAAGAAAGCCTCCACCTCAACTCATCAGAAAGCCACTCACCTCACAACCCACCTCTTAATCCAGACCAATCAGTGAAGAAAAAACACAATGAAGTCCATTATCATCGCAGCCGCCGTCTCAGGCGCCCTCGCCTCCCTCAACTGTACGGCCCTAGCCGAAGTCAAGACCTACTGCTGCCCGGACACCAAGTCTGAGCTCGTCAAGACCGGGCCCGCCGGTGCCCTCATCATGATGGGCTGCGCGGCCGACAACACCAATAAGTAGACGGAGCCCTCTCATAAGCTTACTAGATACCGTCTTGAACTGACGAGGAAATAAGAAACTGGTACTGGAACTACAACGGCCTCTACACGGCCTACTCAACCCAGTTCAAAGACTGCTACCTCAACACCATCCCCTTCAATGACCTCAAGGGTAAGCCTAACCAACCTCGTACAAGTCACCAGTATTTGCCTACCAAAAACCACTTTGCTAACAACAACCTCCCGCCTCGATGACACAGTCCTCCCCGACTGCAAGGACGATACCTACGTCCTTGACCTCACTCGCGGCAAGTCCGGGCCCCTCGACAAGTGCAACCCCAACTGCGTCAGCCAGGACAAATTCCCCGCCAACACCTACTTTGGCGACCGGCAGAAGGAGACCAACATGGCGGCTGATTTTCCGCGTCCTAATCCCAGCCCGTGATGGCCTTGGGCTCGTAGAGGGCGCAGGGTCTAGGCGTTTTATCTTTGAAAGCTACTACCCTTCAATGAAGAGGCGGACGTCTTGAGTTGGAGCTTATGAGATGAGAGATGGCCAGATGGATTGCAACGAGTTTGGTTCGTTCGTTCAGCAAGCTCCAACGATGTATGAGATTCAATTATAGTCGATCTTGCAGACTATCCAGCCTCTGATCCAAGTAAAATAATGTCCAAAGACGGGGAATATCCAAAGTAAAAGCATCAACGCCGTACCGTTGCGGGTAAATCCAGACACAAAAAGGTATCAAAGACATGACGTCAAATAATCCAACCCACCACCACACACTCACATCATTAATGAGCCGTCGAACTCTCACCTCCCCCATGATGCCCCGGCTTGAGCATCCTCTTCAAACTACTCGGGTCCTCCAGCGCATCCAACGCCTTCTGCGTCGTGCTCTTGACCGGCTCCCCATCATACCCAGCCTCGTCCATGTGCTCCAGCGCGCTCTCATTCGAACTAAGCGAGCTCGAGCTGGGACTCCGCGCCACCATGTTGATCATCTTGCCCTCCTTCTTCTTGGCCTCGACCTGCTCCTTCTTCAGCTTCATCAGCTTCTCGTCCTCGCAGTGCATGGCCACGATCCCCAGCCCCGGGAAGTTGGCCTCGAAGAACTCTTTGAGTTTGGGCAGGATCGACTTGTCCGGCCTGTAGGTGCCCGAGTCGTTGTCGATATACAGCTGGTAATACGACGGATTATGCGGCGGGTGCTCGTTCGGCGGACCATTGGGCAGCTCGACGGAAGGGTGCGTCCTCTCGGGCGGATCCGCCTCCTCCGACGCATCAGGCTTCTCCAGCCGCCGGATAAAGAACTCGCCCGAGCAGGCAATGTAGGTCTCGACGTCGCTGTGCATGGTATGCTTGCTAAGCATGTCGATGCTGAACTCCTTGCCCGTCTCGGTGAAGCGGAACATGCCGTCCAGCGTCAGGACGTAGGTGAAGATGCGGCCGCCCTGGTCAAAGTGCACCAGCTTGAGGAACTGCAGCGCGGCCTCCTCGGAGCGGGCCTTGAAGACGCCGTACTCTGTCGAGCTGTCAAAGTTGTAGACGCGGCTGTGCTGCTTGTGGAGGGCCTTGTTGAGGATGCGGCCGCGGAGGCCGCTCTTGGCGAACATGAGGCCGATCATGGGGCGGAACTCGACGTAGCGGTGGTAGAGCTCGGGGGGGACGGGTCCTGAGAGCTGCATTTCGTTTGATTGGAAGCTAGGGCGGCCGTTAGTGAAGGGAAGTAAGGAAGACTCTGGTACGACTTACTCGTATTTCTGGGTCTTGTTGTCCTTTTCCTTGTTTTCGGCTTCGTCGAACAAGTCGGACCGGGCATCGTTCTCCTCGTCCCGGTTGACCTTGATACCGGTAAGACGGCCAATCATCGGACTAAAGTGCTTAAAGTAGGTGGTAGGCCCAATGGTGCACATCTGCGCATGCGGCGGATCGGACTGGCCCAGGAGCTCCATACTAATCCACAGCCTCGGCGACATGTCGACCCGCGGATCAAAGTGGCTGGTGATGGCCTTGACAAAGTAGGCCCGCTTGCTGCCCATGCGCTTCTTGGCCGTGAACTCCTGACCCGGGCGCGGGTACCCCTTCCAGTCCGGACCGATATGCGGCACCCTGACGGTGACGTTGCCGAGGCGGTCGTCGTGGTCGGGCCAGTCCTCGTCGTAGAGGCGGCATTTGAGGATGAAGCCGTCGGCGGGGACGTTAGCCACCACCCACTCGGTATCCCAAACGGGCTCCGTCGTCTTCCTGATGGTCTGGGTGCGGAGGGTGAGGTCCGGGTCCTCCTTGTGGCGCTTCGGGACGGCGGCGCGGAGGGTGACGTGGATAAAGGGGTCGGAGGACTGGGTGCCAACGTCGGCGGCGGGGAGGTTGCTCGCCTTGTGGAAGATGAATCGCACGGTGTAGCCCGGCGGGGCGTCGGGTAAGGGGGTCGGGTCGAAGCCGCCAGAGGGCTTGGTCTTGTCCTTGACCTTTTCCTTGCCCTCGGAGTAGAGGCCCTTGAGATCGCTAGAGTGGTGATGGGGCTTCTCGTGGGGCGGCTTGTGACCGTTAGCTTCCGGGTTCTGTACGCCCTCGATCTTGTTCTCGAGGGCTGCTCCCTCGCCGTGCCCGTGCTTGGGCTGCTCATCCCCGTTGGTTGACGGCCCACCGTTTGTTGTTGATGGGACTGTGCCATCATTGATTTGCTCGTTGGCGGCTGGCGCGCCGTTGGGCGAGGGCGAGGAATGCCCGTTCAGGTCCGGCGCATCGTGGGTGGCAGTGCCGTTGAAGGCCGGGGTGTCAGTTGTGCCATTGGGGGCTTGGCCGTTTGTCGAGGGACCGTCGGCTGCGGTGCCGTTGACCGTGTGACCGTTTAGATTCTCAATCGGCTCAGAGGTTGTTGTCGCAGTCTGGGCGGCGCCGATATCTGGTTGTGGCGCCGAGGTTGCGGCCGCGGTGGTGGTGTTGGTGGAAGTTTCGGCGGCGGCGGCAGTGGTGGACGGGTCGGCGGAATGTGGGTGCCCATTGGGCCTTTGTTCGTCGGCGGCCGACATGGTGAGGATGGTAGCAATAGTGCGCGATTGAAATAAGAAATACTTCGACTAGAACTACGGGAGAATGTCTGCGATCGCGACACAGACAGCGACAGCGACAGCGATGGTGGCTTGAGATGCGCCCGTCGGGAGGCCGGAGGAGGCGTTGGGAACCCCGGCAAGTGTTGGCTTGGGATTGGCGAAGCGGACGACACAAGTTTCCTTGTGTGTCTCGTGTATCTCTCTTTAATCTGTAGGGCGCAGATGGAGCGAACAGAATAACGGAATAGCGGGAGATCCTGTCAAAAAAAAAAAAAAACCCCTGCAGCGCCGTGGTGGCCGTTGCCAAGACCCAAGAGTGTCGATCACTCTCCAAATCGTGGAGGGGCAGCGCGCTGGTCTCTCAGTGCGAGTGCGAGCGCGAGCTCTCAGTCACTCCTCACTCAGTCTCACTCAGTCTCACTCAGTCTCACTCAGTCTGACACTCACTCACTTCAAAGCCGTGAGCTTCACTGAGAGATGGGAGCTTGCAACCGGGACTGAGTTTGGAGAGCTGTGTCCAATGATGTCGTTTGGCGGATCACCAAAAGCTTGGCATGGGGTCCGTGTTGTCCGCTTGCAAACGAAACGAAGCTTTGGCGGCGGGCGGGAGGAGCGTTGGTTTGTTGAAGAAGATGCGCTGGCTGTGACTCGGGACTTGCTAGATTCTTCGTGTCGTTCTTATTCGTCTGTTCTAAGGGCAAGTACGCTGACTGCCGAGGGGTATCCAAAAGGTGAAGATAGAGAGATATGACGACGACAGACAAAAAGTTGTTGGGAGGAAGAAAAAAAGAGAAAAGAAGCTTTGAAATGGGAGGTAACCGGATGGAGCGAGAAGGAAGAGACTCAGACAAGACGATGCGAGGGGCTGGGGGTAACAGAGACGGGGTCCGAGGGAAATCACAGGCCGCAGTCAAAACCATCAAATTGTTCATTTTGGGTTAGACGTAATCCATCCTTGACTCTCGAGCTAAGTATTTACGAATCAAGACTAGGACTCTTTTGAGAACAAGGGTTCCTGCCCCTGGTCATGCCTCTGTCTGCTAGGTAGGTATAGGTAGTACCATGGATAATAGAGGCAAAGAGAGAAAGAGAGAGAGAGAGAGAGACCAACATCGCAAGACCAAACTCACGAACCCATGGAAGCAACAAGATCAACAAAGCGTCGCAAGCAACATGCAGCTGGCGCCTGCGCCTGACGTCATGCCCCCCCCCCCAACATCTGGCGTCGAGGGTGCGGCTAGAAGATGCCGAAGCCGGGGTCACGCTGCCCAGCTGAACCAATTGCCAATGTCGAGCCCCCGATCCGGCCACACTGACAGACACTTTCTCACGTTTGTTTTCCACCATAAGTTCCTTGCGGTAAGCTTCTTGCGCCATAGCCGGCCATGTCCGGGATGCTGCCGCCAGCACTCGCAGCGTTTCACCATCACGAGCCTTTGCCAACGTTGCCCTTTCTTATTAAGTACCCTACTCCGTACAGAGTACAGTAAGTTGGTAAACATTGTGCCATTCCCCCTTGCAGACTGCAGTGGGCGCCCACCCGGAGCCACCAGTACGTAAGAATACCAGCATCCGCGTAAATCTTATGTGGGGAGATGATGGCACTCCCATGGCAGCCAACCGGGCCCAAACCAAGATAAGGTGAACAAGCGTGACACAAGGTCTCACCAGCTTGCCGACCACCCGGCTTCCCGTCTTTTTCATATGAGATGAGCCCTGCCAAGATTGGGAACCACTTGGCTAGCTGATCTGCCGCCTGGGGCCCTGCACTGCTGCAATGCACTAAACATTCTCCGGCACACTCCGCTCCGATTGTCTCGGCGCTGTTCCACTGTAATCCGGCCAGGTCACCCCGCTCCGCTCCGGCTTCTTGTTGACGACCTCACTTTGTCTATAGAGACCCATACCAGAGTTTAAAATCATGTTTCTTCCGCTGTTCACAATTCCTGGTTAGATGGCGTTGAATCATCTCCTGAGATTACTGTGTTATTTGTCTCAAGATCCATCTCAAGTTCAATTCACAAGAGGCGGATTGATGAAGGTGCATATTCATTCTCCTTCATCTTAATAGAATGTAGGAGCATCAGGTTCACAAACTGTCTAATGTCTTGTATAACTCGTGGCATCTCATTGGGTCGCAAATGAGACAGTATTATCAGATTCGATTCTGCCCAAGGCACATTGCCTTTTTGTACCAGACTCGAACTTTCGAGGTCATACTACCTTTCTAGAACCCCGTCTGCCTTGACCTCTGCTCTTTCAAGTTGAGTCCCAAAAAGTTGAAGTGGAAAGCAGTAGTGCTCACGATGTGACTACATGCCTTGATTTCCATCTAAGGCAGTCGATCCATCCATGCCCGGCGACCTTCTTTGAAAGCGCTCGCCTTCACTGATAACGCTCGACCTGTCTAGCACTCCCCCGACTCATTTACTCTATTCGCGACTCACTGAGAAGGACGTGATAATGTAAGTTCTCACCTATGGAAATGAGCTTCACCTCACAACTTGCTTTGAAAGGTCCTGCCCTAATTAGTCTCACTCTACCGACCCAGCCAATCCCCGAGTCCATGCCCCAGTGTCGTTCATGAACTTCTTAGGATTCAAATTTTCTTCTTCTCTCCCTGTCACGTCCAGCTGTCGCTGCCTAGCAACTACCTATGAAAGCTCCCGTTTCTCAAAGGATTTTCCTGCACCAACTGGGTCCTCCAGAACGACTTCTGGGTAGGCGAGCTCGGGTCTGTAACTTGCTCTCACCTGTACCGTACCTAATGAGGTCACTCCCTGCCTGGCAATGAGCTCAAATTTGATAGCTCGCGCCCTATGAGACACTATGCTGTACCTAGTGATGTAATTCACTGCCTAGCAACAGCCTTTAAAAGTTCTTGCCCTTTGAAAACACACTGCCTGCATACCTCTCACTCACATGGCTCTCGACCTACACTATACCCCATGATCTTGTTCACTGCCTAACATCAGTCTTTGGAAGCTCTCGTCCTCTAAGAACACTCTGTCTGCCTAGCTCTCCCCTTCGTATCTCTCTCGCCCTCCTTGTCCTCGCCCTCGCCCTCGCCCTCCCACCTCCCGTCCTCTCACTTCTCGCCCTACCCAGTAACCCATGATACGATCGACGACGAATACGACGAGGGCTAGGCGGGCGGAGTGGGCTTAAAGGGCTTTCTTTCCCTTTCAACCTTGTCAACAAAACCTCTCCTGCTTCACATCCTCAGCAAGAGGTCCATTCGGCACAATGGACCAGCCCATCGATGAAGGTAAGTTTGGCATCAATTTTCCCCCTCTCAGCTTCGACCGAGGTGTCTTTGGATCCCTATTTAAGGGAATCTGATCGAGGGCCCTTGGCTCTTTGCCTCTGGGGTCTCGATTGAGGTCTTGGGGGAATTCATCTCGCTCTCCTCACTGCTTGGCTGCCAAACACCCCTTTCTCGGTCAATCCTAGAGACCATGGGAGATCGGTCTTCTATCGTTTTGAAGCGCAAGAAAAAATGCTAATCATGTATGATAGAAGAGCGCCAGCGCCTGGAGTACTACTGGGCCGAGCGTAACCGAATGGTCGGCAGCCTTTACTACATGCCGTAAGTATAACCCAAGCCTTCCTTTACATCTTCTAACCAGAGACATACAGGTCCGAGCTCGCCTACCCGGAAGTCGTTCTCGACAACCTCTTCGCTTCGAGAAGACTCATGACAGGCGAAGAGCAAGTCCAATCCGACCACCAGGACCAAGATGCTCACGCCAGCTCTGTCCAGTCGGTCCACAATGCTTTCGAGGATCCCCGTCTTAACGACAACGACTACAACGAGAACCCGTTCTACGCCGAGCACCTGGACTTGAACGTCATGTCTCCCCAGCAAGCCGAGAACGCCTTCGATGGACCAGCTGTTCAGCAGCACCAGCATGATGCCATCCAAGGTAGTCATTACATTCCTATCGACCCCGATCTCGAGAGCCAGTCTATCATTGCTGTTCAGCCGGCTCAGGACTCTCTCGAGGTATCCAGCAATGCTCTCGCAGGCAATTCCGAGCATCCGAATGTCAGCAACTTTCTTCCCGACTACATCTACGAGTCCCAGGCTAGCTCCATGAACTTTCAGCCAGGCCACGCCGGAAAGATCAATAACCTGATCAAGGATGGCTTCAGCCTTGTGTACCCTGACTATGGCCCGGTTTTCGGACCCCCTGCCGAGCATGATGACCCTGCGATGTTTCTTCAAGAGCATGAAGGACAGGAGCATCAGGACAATCAGATACCTCAGTATTCCGAGCAGCAGATGCATATCGACATGGAGATGCAGGATGTTCCGCACCAGCAGATGCAATTTCAGTACCAGCAGTACCCGCAGGACGGCAACGATGAACATCCTATTCATGGACAGGGCCATCATGACCAAGGTCTTCGCCAGCAGCATGAGCATCATGTCCACCAGGACCACGTGTTCAACCAGCCACAGCAGGACCAGCACCACCATGGCGACGATCAGAATGCGCCTGTCAAGGAGGACGACAACCACTACGCGGCCGCCGCTCCCAGCGCGATCGCGCAGGGCAACAACCATCAAGCCGCCGCCGCCAATGTTCAAGCTCCTCAGGCCAGGCCTAGAGGCAGACAGAGCCATACTGCCACAATCCCCAAGGTCCAGCACAACGACGACTCCAAAATCCCAGATCCGCACCATTACGGCCTGGCTGAGGTTGAGGCAAGACCCCCCTGCCAAGAAATCACCCGAATCGTCCGCGGACAGCAGAAAACGCTCATACAGTGTAATCGCTGTGACGAAACCCGTTCGAGACGGGACGAGATGCGCTGGCACCTTCGGTGGGAGCACTATGGCCGTTACTACCCGCCGCATGGATGTCACATGAAGAAGGGTCGGGAGCAAGCTTTGCTTGACTGTCCCTAGAAGAGATGATTGCTTTTGGGGAGGATGGATGGATTGCTGGGATGGATTCGTAGATCAGGAGTTTTAGCTGCTTAATAAAGAAGTGTTGACTGAGAACTTCATAGATGTGACACATGACTTCTCCAAGACCTTGTAAGCACGTTCTACGTAACGATTCAGTAACGAATACGTCAAGCTAGGACTATGGCTCCAGCGAAGGACGAGAATAATGAGAAGGATAAGTCAGGCAAGGAAGACAAATAAAACAAGGAAGATAAGCAAGGCAAGAAAGACAAGCAAGGTAATGAAGACACAATGAGGATAAGCAAGGCAAGGAAGATAAGCAAGGTAATAAAGACAAGCAAGGCAAGGAAGACAAGTAAAGTAATAAAAATAAGTAATAAAAAAAGAAGGACAAGTAAGAAAAGAAGGACTGGTAAAAAAGAAGGTTAAATAAGTAAAGAAAGTTAAGTAAAGTAAGAAGAGAAGGTTACTGTCGGAACGGCAAGGCTGATAAGGAGCAATGGGCAGGTATCGTGGGCTGGCTGGCGCCTGCCCTGGGCGAAGTGGGACAACTGGCTTAGTCACCACGGCCGGTTAAGGTGGGGCAACCACCCAGGCCGTCACCACCTACTTCGACCGACCCCTGCCCACAATGTAAATAGGAAGGAACAAGAACAACAACAGCAATTATCACGGACATCGACGTGATTGTTGCCGAAGATACACCCTCATGAGGAAATGTATCACGCCTGTGATACCAACAGTTACGTAAGAAGAGAAGGTTACGTAAGAAGAGAAAGATAAAAAGGATAAGAAGGACGACTAAGGTAAGCAAGACGAGTATAATAGTAGGGAAGATAGGGCCGAGAATAAGCTTTTACAATTCTTTTAAGTCCTAGACGATTGTCTTTAGGTGGTATTATCTAGGAGAAGATAATGCATTGACAAGCGTCGAGATTAGGCTCTTCTCGACTACTCTAAAGAAATTAAGTAATTATCATTAGGGCGACCTAGTCTAGAGCACTAGGATGAGTTTGGTAGTCAATGAATAAGTGGTGCTTAAGGACTTAGTAAACCTCACCACTTAAGATGCCATGAACGCTGCGGAAGAAGGACAATGATCTAACAGATTCAACGTATCTCAGCTCCAAGCAAGGCTTCAGCATCAAAGACATTAAGCCAGGCCGAAGGTCTCAAAGAAGGATGAGAAGCAGGTGACTAATTATTTTACTTGAAGCTTTGGATAATCGTCCTTAAGTCAAACTCCACATCACGCACCAAGGTCAATTACTCACTTAGAGGATGCTTTATAAAGAAGAGCCATAGACAGGCCTTTCTATATTGTCCGAAGGATGAGCCATTGTGACACGTGTGGGCAGAGAATGGTTTAAGAGACAAAACAAACGTATTGTATAAATCAAATCACACTAAGAAGGAAGTTTCGACTTGAATTTAGAGAGTACGAACGAAATTTCGGCGCTCGTCAACCTCCTCATAAGTACATTCTGCATAACGATTCGGTAGCGAATAAACAAATGGGGGCCAAATCGTTACAGAGATGAACGAGAAACAAAGTTGCTCTAATCAACTGCTCCCGGAACATATGATTGATTGCCTTTAGGTCATCCAATGCAACCGATGTACCAATGCATACTCGCAAAGGGACGAGGTGCGATGACACCTCCACGAAAATACCTGTCTTAAGCCCACTGTCCGCCCCGTTAATGAGTGATTGCCCTTTGTCATAAGATACTTATATTGGTGCCGTGAATGCTGCCCACGACTGGTTGATCGGCGTTGTGTGGACTCTTAAGAGCCTTAGATGACTGCCTTTGGGTGGTGGTAGGAAAGGGGTTTATATGAAGATGGGTCAAGGGCAGGCCCTTCTTCATTGCCCGGTGGATGGACGATCGTGCGGCACGTGGATAAAAGGTAAATTGCAAGACTGGATAGTTATAGGAACTTGATGAATTATTGTGATAGTGAAGTTATAAATAAGAATCCAAGAGAACATGACAGTTGAATTCCTATCGGCCTCATGAGCACATTTTATGTAACGATTCGGCGACGAATAAACAAAGCGAGACCGAACGGTTGTAGAGGAGAAACGAAATTATGAAAGTAGGGGTGATCAAGGGTATGAGTCGTCTAAGAGATCTACTTGCGCAAACTGCCAAGTCCTGAGAGTGGTGAATGGTGCCCAAAAGACGGTCATCCAGTGTAACCGATGCCCGAAGATCCTATCTCGGAAGGATGAGATGCAGTAGCACATCCCCATGGCCTATTGCAGTATTTAAGTACCCGCGTAGAGGGTTCCATTGATAAAGGGCAAGAGCAGACCCTGTTGGACTGCTCCAAGAAGGATGGAGTGCGCTCAGGTCGGCCGAGTCTGGTATGCTGGCATTCTCGGAACTTAATAGATCGTCTCTAGCATAAGTAGAAGCAGAAGATAGCTGCCAACTAAGCCCCTGATTCCAGCACATTATATTAAACATGGTGTGGCGAGAGAAACCAAAGACGACATTATGGCATACATGAAAGCGTTGGAAGGGTTACCACTGCCTTGCACTTGCCCAAGATGTTCAGACGAACGTCAGGTTCTTATTCTTGAAGGGAATCAGAGCTAGAATGACAGCATGATGGTAGTAAGAGGTCCGATCAATGACACCATCGGTCAACATGCCAACAGACCCTTTGCTCTGCTTGCTATTCGTCTGGCCAAAGATCAAATCATCCGCGTGTCCCAACTCCATGCCCTGGCGCAGGTACGCAGCACTCTCCTCAGGGAGATAATACGCGCCCGTCCGCGCCTTGCCCACCCGCCCGTCGCGGCTGATGACGACGATCCAGGCAAAGTTCATGATGGGAGCGTTCTGGTCGGATGGCATGTCGATGCCGCCCTCGAGGCCGATCCAGTAGTCTGCGTTCTTCTCGGTTTCCCTGGCATTGCGGGCCCGGTTCAAGGCGCCCTGGAGGGTCTCCTCATCGGAGAGTGGTTGGTCTGGGACACCGGAGGGGACGCTGATGCCGCGGACGGTGTAGGTTGCTTCTGGGAGGGCTGATTCGAAGCCGAGTTTCGCTGCTTGGACTTTGACTGGGTTTTTGGAGGCGACGATGATTGATAGGGGGGATGCCATTTTTGCTGTGTTGTGGGTGAGGTGGTTGATGAGGTGAATGTCGCAGGCTAAGTTGCAGTCACTGAAACTTGGGAAATTGTGCTGATATTACATCAACTGGAGAGTGAGGTTGCCATTGAGTTTATTATGAGATATCCAAAGTTGAGGCTGAAGTTGAATGAGTCATCCGGGGAACACCTGGTGGAGCGAATGCTGTGGTCTGGTTGCAATTCGATGAGACTAAAATGTGCATGTCAGTTGCCGTTTGTTTGGTGTACTTTGTCACCTTGAACATCCATTGCTCGAGGCAGCGGACGGGAAGGTTACAGGCACCCTGGCCGCTGTCCGGCGGCGTTAGGGGAGTGGAGTGGGCCCGAATCGAAGTTAAGGGGTAGCACGCTGCACGGGCCAGGGATCCATCCCACAGGGCTGGGCCGATTCAATCAGCGACCATCAGCGGACCGTGACCCCTAACTGTAGGTGCATTAGATAAGCAACCTTGAAGCGAGCTGGAGAAGAACGTGGGAACCTGCACTGACGGGAAGAGACAGAGAGATGGGATTTTGGGGGCATTTCGGGGGCATCCATGGAATCTCACCACTGCGGCGGATTGCGCCAGGGGCCATGCGACAGGTGGCACTACGCTATAAGTGCGGCGACGGGATTGGCGGCAGCAAAATAGCCTCGTCTGACGACCCCTGCACCGTGGGCCGACCAAATGTCCCCTTAGCTTCTTGAAAGATGAACCCCCCCGGTTGACACTCGCCGAGTCTCCCCTCCTTGTGACTTGTGAGTCGGTGATTTTTGGGAGGGTTTCTGTCCCTGGTAAGCTCAGATAACCTAACCAAAAAGCTGCCAGAACGCGATTTCCGTCCGAGGTTTCGCATCCTCCTTTTCGCAGGAGATTCGCGTGACCCCTCGGGTTTCCTTTCTTCTCTTCAGTCCTTTCCTCACCACACAGCGTTCTCTGCTACCTTATTATTACTTGCCTCCTGCGTAAACCTTGACTTTCGCAAACTCACTCTCCCAGAGTCAAGCGACAGCCAATCGCCCACCATGGCGCGGAGACAACACCTCACGCTCATGGTCCTCCTGGCCGTCGTCGCCTTCTTCAGCGTCTCCTACCTCTTCTCGAGCGGCACCAGCGAACCATCCTCACCCGCGCCCCCAGCCGCCGCCGTACCCCTAAAGGGCGATTCCGTATCTTCGAGCGGCGACACCTCCGATCTTGGCCACATCTCGAGTAGCATCCTGTCCGGCGAATCCATTGCGCCCAAGTTGGAGAATGCGACGGCAAAGTAAGCCTTCCGCCCTCTGCATGAGAGAATACCCACCACTCCGGGTCGTTCCCTCGGGTCCTCTTCCCTCTTGTACATCAAGGTCATGCTAACGCACTATCCTCCCCCACAGAGCCGAGCTCGGCCGCGCCTCGTGGAAGCTCTTCCACACCATGATGGCCCGCTTCCCCGAGAAGCCTACCCCCGACGACAGCCTTGCCCTCAAGACGTACATCCAGCTCTTTGCCCGCCTCTACCCCTGCGGCGACTGCGCCTCCCACTTCCGCAAGCTACTGGCAAAGTACCCGCCTCAGACGAGCAGCCGCAACGCTGCCGCCGGATGGGCCTGCTTTGTGCACAACGAGGTCAACACCCGCTTGAAGAAGGAGCTGTTTGACTGCAACAAGATTGGCGACTTTTACGACTGCGGGTGCGGCGACGAGGATAAGAAGAAGACTGAGGGCGGCGGTGATAAGCCCAGCGCTGAGCTGGCCAAGGATGGTTGAGTTGCTTGTGGCAGAGTCTCAGGACTGCGATTAGGCCTTGCTTGCTGACATTTTGACAGTTTGACCAAGGGCGGTCAAGGTGCTGATTGATTGACATGTTTTGGATATCCGAGGCGCATGAGTGTTGTACCATATCTGCAAGAATACCTGTATAAAGAAGCATTTTTCTTAGGCCGGCGTTGTGGATAACCACCGGATCCAGCGGAACATATTGAATTCGAACATGAGGCAACCTTTGCTTTGATATAGGCAGAGAAGAGAATTGTCTAAACTAGGACCGAGCTTCACATGCCAGTATCTATGGTTCATGACAGTTTCTCCTTCCGAGAAGCTATCGTCCTCACGTGGGGCTCTTGGGAATAGTCATATATAGCTTCTGACATGGTGATAGCGTGAACCTAACCCAGCAGCCATAAGGAGCTTCTCATGCACACAAGTTTATGAGAATGCTAAGCAGACCAAACTTTTTCTAAACGCATTCAAGTTATTAAACTCAGCAACTTTAATGCCTTGAACTGTGCAAATGGAATCGTGGCGGTTGTGACCAAAACGAGATTATGTCATCAGTCACGTGATGCTCTCTAGGCCGTCCCGGGCGGGCAAGGCCAACGCGTTCTGGAGCTGCCTGAGCTTCGTCAAGCTCCATTCAGCCTTCCACCGACGACACATCAAACCAAACCCACCCTCTTTCGATATCGACGCCGAACCTCCCTTCACTCCCCGACCCCCAATCCTCGACGAACCGAATTTGCAAACGAATCAACGAAATACACACCACACACAACTCATCAAAATGGAGTTCACCACCACTGGACAGCTGAACGAGGGTATGGACCGAAGCTTGGATGATGCTATTGCGGGACCCCAGAATGGAACGTTGAAGCTGACGATGACGGGCGGACAGATGGCATCCACATCGACATGGAGAGATTAAAGAAGGGAGAGGTCAAGTGAGTGATGATGCTACGTCCTCGGCCCGTCACAGAATCACAGCTAACCGACGTCACAGCCTCGGAACCTCAATGTAAGCTACCCCTCCGATCGCCCCTCCCCTCCCTCACACATCTGACATCTCGCGATAGTATGGCAGTCACCTTCAAGGACGGTGTTATTCTCGGTACGTCAGATCCACACACATGTTTCCTTGACCGCATATACATGCCTACGGCGGCCACAGTAGACTCTGGGCACTCTTGGAGGGGCAAACAGACAGGGACCACACAAGGACCGTACAACTGACGACGAGCCACTCCATCTAGGCGCCGATTCCAGAACAACGACGGGCGCCTACATTGCCAACCGAGTCACCGACAAGCTCACACAAGTCCACGACACCATCTGGTGCTGCCGGTCAGGCTCCGCCGCCGACACCCAGGCCGTCGCCGACATTGTCCAGTACCAGCTCGGCCTGTACGCCATGCGCAACGGAAAGCCCCCCATGACCCAGACCGCCGCCGCCATCTTCCAGGAGGTCTGCTACGCCAACAAGGACCGCTTGACGTGAGTCTTCCCCTTCTTCAATCTGTTCTGCTACTGCGAAATCGCATTGAGGACATGGAGACACTGGCAAATGGACGTAACTAACTCGAGACGAATCACAGCGCCGGTCTCATCATTGCCGGTTGGGACGAGCGACACGGCGGCCAGGTCTACTCCATCCCCCTTGGCGGATCCCTACACAAGCAGTCATATGCCATCGGCGGCTCGGGTTCGACGTACATTTACGGATACTGTGACGAGCACTGGAAGGAGGGCATGGAGGAGAAGGACGCCGTCGACTTTGTCAAGGGATCGCTCAAGGAGGCCATCAAGTGGGACGGCAGCTCTGGTGGTGTCATTCGTATGGTCGTCCTGACGGCCAAGGGCGCCGTGCGGCATCTGTACCTCCCTGACGAGGACTACAAGGTGCAGCACTAGATGGGGAGTTGGATACGGTGAAGCAGGAGAGAGAAGAAAGGAGACGTTTATTGTGATGTGGCTGGAAGGAAGCCATCTGATCGCTCTCCTCGACACTGGCCGGGCATGATGGGCATCAAGACGTCACACGGGTTGGTTCGCCGTGCGGTTACGAAGGTGCTTCCCGAGTCCCGAGAGGGGACAACAGAGCGAGGAACGTCCATGCCGGGGCAACATCTCGGGCTTGGCGACAAACGATGAATGTACAATAAATAGATTACCCGCAAGACGAGATTTCTTCACGAGAGGACCGAGGGATCCATGGAACCGTGACACGTTGAAAGATTGCGATAAGGTACGGGCAGCTCGCGTGTCTACCTTAAGATGATATGATGCGATTGCGTGCGATGCGCTGCAACGCCACCATGGACAGGCAAGAGTAAGAGTCTGGGGACAAGGTTAAAAATTCAAGACCTGGTACTGGTACTGGTAGAGAGAAGTGATGGAGTGAGACGCTGCCGGCACGCGAACGCTGCCACCCGTATGCACGATGCAGGGAGGACGGCACAGTCACAGTTCACTCTTGATTAAAATAAGGGGTGTGAGTGTCACTGTCGAAGCGTCGGATTCGGAAGCGGTGAGGATGGGGGGGATGGTTTTAGCGCTGCTCGGTTCTGCGGGATGGTGATGAGCGGGAACAAATCAGCGGCGGATGTGGGGAGGACGGGGACGGGAAAGTGGTGTTGTTGACTTTGGCTTCTCGTTGGAGGGATTTGCGATGCGATGCTGGCATGCTGCTCTGTTCCTAGCTTGGAAGTTAAAGGTGAAGGCTGCGAGGTTGAAGATGAGGTTGTCCATCCGAGGCACGCTTGCTGGCGCGGTGTTGCCCACCCAAGAGTATTCAGAAGCGGATTATGGTTCTTGTGTGTCTTGATATAGAGAGAGAGAGAGAGAGACCTCGACTCCATAGTAGACACGAAGCAAAATCATCCAACATGGAAGTTGCGTGTGCATGACTAAGTTGGAGAGTGATGACGGAAGGGTGATCAAAGGTCGTTGGCCATCGGTGACGATTTAGGAAAGGTCGTGGAAGGGCGGTGGATAGAAACGTGGGACGGGGCTGTCGGGCTGCGTGCGGGCTGCGGGTGTGCCACGATGGCTCCGATATCTGGCGATTGCGCGACATGCCTTGCTCCGTCCTGGTTTACCTAGTATTTGGGGGGCGACCTGGGGCGGTGTTGCGGTGAAGCCCTCATTATGTGTGTGTGTGTTGTATCCGTAGTGCAGATCAGATAGGGGAATTTCTTAAAAATCCCCAAGATCCCAAGACCTCGTGCCGGAGGGAACGCCGGGTATTGGCCGGGAGTCACCATCCGTGCAGGCCCCGGGGGGGCGTCCTGGAAGGGGGAAAGGGGGGCCCGACCAGCCAATATCGTACATGGGGCTTGGTGCCGTGGTGGTGCTGGGGAACAGCTGGGCGTGGGATGGATGATGATGAAAGCTTGTTTTTGTGTTGCCCCTTTTGGGCGTGTTGGCAACGTTGGCAGTGCCGTTGAATCGCGTGTGTAAGTATTTGTTCTCGTAGTGTAAGGTAAGGTAGTGAATGGGTGTCAGGAGGTGGGTTAGCGGCAGCTGAATGTTTGTAATTGCTAGCTTGGTGTAAGCAGCAGACAACCCTTTGGCTCGAATGCAACGATCCGGCTGGGGTTTAATCGTCTCATGTGCTGTTAGTCAACATCCAGCCGGTGTTGACAGGTATTCCGCGTTGGACGGGCCCGGCGGGTACCTGATGGATAACCGGGAACGACAGACGGTCTGTTTCTATTTTCTGAGCCCCTAAATGACCGGTCGTTAAAGTCTCCGTGGCCTCCGTACCCTTTGTCTGGAGAGCTTTCTTTTTTTGAGCAGCGTAGTAAAAAGGGGGGAATAACGGGGAGAGCGTGGCTGGCTATGCGACTATGGAGTCAACAACGACGATGTTGCTTGATTTGGACGGAAGTGAGGTCCGGATTCGGCCGGGACCTGAGCGGGGGATACTGGAAGAGAAACCCAGAGGGGCCCAGCGCGGTGTTTGCGAGTTCGTTGTACGTAAAATGGGAGAAGCTTGTCGATGTTTCCTCCGAGATCCATTTTGTGCCATGGCGAAAGTTGCGTGCTGCAGTTATTTTGGTGGAGCAGGAAGGCATCTCGGGTCCAGTGCGTCGTATTACGGCAGGCAATTGGCGATTGGAATTACGATGCGAATGCCCTGAAAAGGCCGCGCGATTGAGTGTGCAACAGTGCAGGTCGAGACAGAAAGGGAGGTAGGTGGCAGGGCTGGCGGGCGGAGGGGGGGAGGTGGGAGATACGGTACGTACCTTATCTTATCCGATAAGACATGAGATTGCTGTGATTGCCCACCGGGGCGGGCACAGCAGGCAGGGCAGGGGACGCACATGGGAAGTGTCGAAAAGTCGAGGTTCCCCTGCCGGGCTCAGGTGGCCCCTGCTCGTCAAATCTCTTATCAGCGGTATCGCGTATCAGACGGGCCAATGAGAGGACGGTATGACCACACCCTCTCCTCCCGACGATGCGGATGGGTCGTCTGTCTTTCCGCCGCGTGTCAGTTCCAGTGGTCCGCCGTCTTTGCAAGCGCTCTCTCGTCACTGTGTGTCCGTAGGTATTTCTTGTTATTTTGCGCTTTTCTGTGCAGATGCTCCGACTCGGGTTGTTGCTCGGACGTGCTGCGAGTGCGAGCTGTCAGCCTCTCTTGAGGTGAAGTGGTAGCACGGTTGCGGGCTGGGGAAGCAGCATCAGCGTGGAAGCTCTGAGGTACCTCACGCAATAGGTGTGCTGAACAGCATTGGAATCGTTGGGCAGCCATCCATCCCATCGGGAAATGTTGGATACTTCGTACTCCAAGTTGGGAGAGAGAGCTCGGAAAAGCAAGGACCGGGGCTCGTGAGGTTGCGGCTGGAGAGGAGCGCAATCTAGGTCCATGCCGAGTTGAAGCTCCAACCTCCAGGACCTCGGCGCGGGAGAGAGAGAGAGAGAGAGAGAGAGCAAGCAGTGAAGCAGGGCAGGATCGCAATGAGGCTGTGCTTGGTTCGGTTGGGCCCGCCGACTAGGAACTGGGACTCTCCGACTTGCAACGATGGCACGAGCAGAAATGCAGATTGCCAGTGCCAGATTTGGGAAGAGCCTGGCACGACCTTGGAGGCACGGAGGACCCTTGGATTTCCATGGCCCACGAGTGACGGGCGTTGCTGTTGCGTGAGCTGTGAGTGGCTGCTCCCACAGGTACTTGCTCGTGGGTGTTGGTGGCTGGCGCGGGTTTCTGTCATGTCATGTTTCGGGTGGCTCCTCGTCTTTTTTGCCATGCCGCCACACGAGATGCAGTGAGACATTCAGTGAAGATGAGATTCATGGTATTCAATGGCACGATATATGGGAGACCCCAAAAGTATGAGTAAATACGGGAGAAATGATTGGGGGAAGAGATGTGAGACTTGGTGCTGGCAGAAGGTACCTACCTATCTTACTGGGTCTCATGCGGCCTCTCGATGAGCTCTGGAGTGAATCTCAGAGTGAACCTCACATGCCTGTGAACAACAACTCACGCGCGGATCCAAGACACGCGGGGAACCACGGCCGTGGCATCGCGACTGAGCGTGCATACTACTGCCAGCTGCACGCGCTGCAATGGCCATGGAAATGGAACTGCTCGCTGCACGGCACAGAAGGTTAAACCCGTCAGCCACCGTGACAAACGGCTTGGAGTCTGGAGTGATGCATCTGTGCAGTGTGCCGTCATTCGGGGAGCTGCTGCACATCAACAGGCAACGTAAGGTCCTCAATGCTCTCTCATCCACTCATCCTTGAATCGACTTTACCCAGCTGAGCCTTTTGGCGGCCATCTTTTTGCCATCTACCTCATCCGTCTCCACCAGACCGCCAATCTCATCCAGGGTCCCCTCTAAACATCTCTCACTCACTCACTCGCTCGCTCACTCAGAGTGTCCTCTCTTCAGATCAAGTGAGAGAACCGTGTCTTTTCTCATACACCTCGAGGAAAACAAGTATCCAAACAACATGAGCGTCACACCCTAATGACCTGATTCTACAAACCATCATCTCGTACAGGAAGCAAGGCACGGATCCGAAGCAACAACAGCATTCACACTACCAAGTAGCACGAGTTCCAGGCCCAGTCCATCGGCCACTGCGTCTCCAGGGCTCTCCACCAGCCCGCTGCCCCCTCTACACTGCCGTCCAAGGTACCGCTGCTGCTTGAGCCTTGCCAGGTGAGGTGAGGTGCTCCAGCTGCCTTCACCAAGTTCCCCTCCATCCGCAGGGCCACCCACCTGCCTGCCGCCTGCCACCCACCGCCGTCCTTCTTTTCCCATTCTCCTCTCCATTACCCATCCATCGCCCGCCCGTCTGCCAACCCGCGCCAGCTTCTCCCAATTCATCCACCATCCATCCGTCCATCCACACCCCATTCCAACCCGCCCTCCTCCGACTCTTTTTCTCTCTTCCTCCTTCCCTCCCCAGTCTGCTTTTCTGTTCTGGCCCTGTCTCGTCCTTCCTCTAGACTGGACGTTTTTTTTTTTTCCAACAAGGGGGGCTTCTTTCGACGACTTCCTCTTCCTTTGATCTCACCGTACCCCCCCTCCCACGGTACCTGTATTGTTCTTGGCACTCGACATCGCAGACGCTCTGCGAAACAGAACAGAAACAGATTCTCGAGTCGCCCCGTCGGACGAGCCCTCTGACCGCCTTCCTCCTTCCCCCTCCTCCGCCTCATACTCCCACCAAAAGGTCGCCATCGCCGCCTCCTTCGACATCACCCAACCGTTCTTGTCAGGCCTAACGCGTCCGTTGTGAGCCTATTGACCTTTGACCCGATTCGACTAGACCTTGTCTACGACCTCTCTGCACTCGACACCTTGTTGCTCGTTGCCATCTCTGACGAATACTTCCTGCGACCACGGCACCGATACACCGTTGCCCTTTCATCGCGTCGACTCTTCCCGCGCCCTACACCAATACTTAGTATCTAGATCCATCGCCTGTCGACAGGACCTTCCGCCTCTTTGTTGGACGACTTAGGTGAGTCCATCCCAACTTGCCTTCTGCCCTGGCGATTCTCCGTCTTCCCCTGCCTTTTCACTACAACCTACGTCGTCGCTCTTCACTTGGTTCGTCCTGGCAACGAGACACGCACCTGTGACGTCGTTCGTACCTGCGCGCCATGTTCGAGGCTGCCATCAGCTCTACCCCCGAGGTGGCTCTCTCGATCGAGTTGTTGGACTGTAGTCTCGGCATGCTTGCCGGCATCGTCGTTCCTCTGCTGGTGGATTCTGCTTGTTCATCTGCCATCGGGGCTGCTCTTCCCATGCCTTGATTTGCATGTGCAAAACCCCAGCCTTGCTTGCCCAACCCCCCGCTGCCACACACACTCCTCTTCCCACTACCCACGATCAGGGCCCTTGCCTCACCTCACGTCACTGCCCTCGCACAAGCTCTCAAGTCAACCTGAGGTTTGAAGAATCGGGCTTGAGCGGTGCTCATTCTCTCGGTCGGGAGTCTTGGGCGCCAATGTGATCACGCAGTAACCCTTGCGGCCCCCCATACTATTTGTCTCCTCTACTTCCGCACCATAAAGTTCAACTGGGACTTGAAAAGCTAAACCGTCGTTCCTGCAGTTGCCTGTTCCAACCATCCTAATTGTAATTCAGTCTTGCTGGAATAATACGATGCTATGGCAGCTGTAATCGGTGACTACGTCTCTGATCCCTCCCGTTTCCATAAGATGATTGCCAACCCGGGCATTCAACACCAACACTCGCACGATTCCCACTATCGATCCTCGAGTCGGTCAAGAGACGTCCCTATCCACCAAACGTCCGCGAGCCCGAGATACCAACACTCTACGAGTACCCCGCCCACGCGCCAAAAGCGCTCCGAACAGGATTCGAACGAGAAGCCCGCGCCGCCTAGCGCAGGTGCCTCTCGCTTCCCCTCGCCCCCATCATCTTCCTCGCCAACAGGTGCCAGGCCTCAGCATGCTGATAGCCCCGCATACATGGCAACCGATTCCCGCGACGCCGGCCATGCTGGGTCCGTAGTCGCCTCCGAACAGGCCCACCCCGCCCCTGTTCAAGAGCAACAACAACAACAACAACAGCAGCCTTCGCCCGCGTCCGATGGAAACGGTGTTGCTGGCGCCACGACTTCATACCCCCTCTCTGATACCTCATCCCCCGTGCAGCAACCGCAGGGCCAGACAATCCACATCCGCGACTTGGCCCATATCCAGAGTCTCGCCAAGGCCGACCTATTGTCAGGCAATGGACCCGGAATACTGAATGACCCGCCGTTGCAGGCGATGAAGTACGAGATCAGTGCCATGCCTATCGGCGACATCATTGAGATGGTCGCTGCTCTCCTCACCAAGATCACCACCACCAACGACCTACAGCATGATGCCATGCAGCGCAACGTTGCGCATCAGCAGCAGGCGAGCCAGAATAACGAGTCAGGCAGCGGCTCGCAAATGAGCCCGTTGAGTACGTCTGTGCTTGCTTTCCATGGCAAGAACATCCCTGCTATCACCATTCTGAGTTACTTGTCCCGCATTCACAAGTACTGTCCGACCACCTACGAGGTCTTTTTGAGTTTGCTAGTCTACTTTGACCGCATGACGGAGCGAGTCAACGAGATGGTGGTCAAGCACGAGGAGGCGCGGAGGGTTTCCACTTTACTGCCAACCCCGAAGGCACAGCCGGCCGACGTCGAAATGCGTGACGAGGACGACGAAACCGACTCGGATCTTGCCGACGACGACGATGCAGACGAACAGAACACAAAGACGAGCGAGAGTACCGGTAGCATCGTGCCTCAGCCGACACCTCCTGGTGCACCCCCGGCCACGTACTTTGTTGTCGACAGCTTCAACATCCATAGACTGGTCATCGCGGGCGTCACTTGCGCGAGCAAGTTCTTCTCGGACGTCTTCTACACAAACTCTAGATACGCCAAGGTACGTTACTGGCCGGAATTGACCGATTTATCTTGCCCAGTACTGATTCTCATCTTTTAGGTCGGTGGGCTTCCGTTAGCCGAACTCAACCATCTCGAGCTCCAGTTCCTTCTGTTGAACGACTTCCGACTGGCGGTTCCTGTCGAAGACCTCGAGGCATACGCGACCATGCTGGTCGAGTTCTACGCGCGGGAGGTGGTGGCACAGCGATCGCGTCCTGCTGCTGTTACCGGTGGTGATTCCTAAGTACATTTGCAATGTTGCGATATTATGAGATTGATACCCTAAACTACGCCAATTTGGGGTTAAAGTGGTCTACTGTTGCTTGCTGGTACTCATACGACTAGCATCGCATTCTGGTAGAATCGACTTGTATACGTTTGGCTCGTTGGCAACTCAGAGCTTGGGAGGGATATTGGGCATCTACTCATCGAACCGGGCACCGGAAGCTCGGAGCAAATTACACTTCTTCGGCAAACGGCGCGCCCCGTTTCGTTCTTGGACGTAACCGGTACAACGTTGAGCGACCACTGGACCGACGATGCAGGAGGATGGGCAAACTTTTCCTTGAAATACCCGGATAGAACGGGTCTGTGATGGAGTTTTCGCGGGCGGTATTCTGTTGCGACTTTTGGCGGAGCTCATGTGAAGGCGAAATCAGTCATACGTTGATCTTTATTACGAGGCGTGGATTTCGCGCGCGCGCGCGCGCGAGCTGTAAATGGGCAACCAGACAGACGAAAGAAGCAAGAGAGAGAGTCCTTTGATGAAGCGGGCATGGGTTGGACGGTTGGACTAGGCTACACTACACGCTACGTTACGTTCTAGACTTTGCGCGGGCATACTTGGGACAAGGCGTTTGGTGTTCCGAGACTGACATAGATGGCGAGCATAATGGAATGTCCTGAGTACGAGAAATTGAATTGGAAGTCGGCCGACTTGCAGTTTTGAATCGCGGTGAGCATGTGATAGTGGGGATGACTGACTCTGTCAAATATACGTACGGTAGAAATTGAGGTGAGGGTTGAGGCCAACAAATGTTGACCTCACCGCCCAACTGCGGCCAGCATGAACTAGTCGAGAAGAGCTCATGAGTGAAGAAGGTGTGCCAGGTGCTGACTACGACCCTCCCGAGTCGAATCGTACAGATGATGACCTGCATCAATAAGCTTCCCCCAGGCGAGCTATGTCATATAAGTGCGCCGCCGGTAATGTGGGAGTGCATTGTGCTGGGCCAAAAGTGTTGCCGGGCTTGTACCAGAGCAATGAGATAGAAGACATGGTGGGGGATATTACGTTGGGCAAGGCTGGGCATGTTGGACGGGAGGGCATCCAGACGGGGTTGAGTTAAGAATGCAGTGTAGGACGGCTTGGCGCGAAGAGGGCTTAGCGCCACCTAGCTTTGCGATCACGGATTCGGACGGCGGGTGCGAGGACTGCGTATTCTGATGAAGAGCTGCCATTGAGGGAGTGAAGAGAGACGTGCTACACGATGTAGCCTTGCTGGGTATGGTTATCTCAGTGGTAGAATCTAGCACAGGGCATTATAGCTTTTCCTACTTTCATATAATGTTGCTAGTATTTTGAGTATGAAGCCACGAGAGGTGCCGAAAAATTTGCAGTGTTCCTGCAGTTCATGTTACGGAAAGGCTGCCTCAAGAACATATAGCCTTGCCGGTGGCTTGCTGGTACATGGGAATCATTCGTCCATAAGTTCGCCTAATACAAGCTGCCGTAGCCTTGAATTTACACAGTAGCTTGAACACAATCCTGCCATTGCAAAACCAAACGCCAAGTTTCCTCCTCTGTCACTTACTCTGTCACTTACTCTGTCACCTCCGGCATGTGGCAGACAACCTCGACATTATTCCCCGACGGATCAATCACAAACGCGCCGTAGTAATTGGGATGATACTGCGGCCTCAACCCAGGCGCACCATTGTCCTTTCCTCCCGCAGCAAGAGCAGCCTTGTGAAACTCGTCAATCACTTTCCGGTCTATTCACGATAACCCATTAGCCAAGTTCAACAGTGTTACCGTCACGACCCCAGTCACCAGATAGATGTTGACGTACTATCCGCCTTAAAGCCAATATGGAGCGGAATATTCGCCTTGTCAGCTTTATGAGACGCGATCCAGAAATCGGGCCGCTGGACGCCGAGACCGCATGCGTACTCGTTCGGCTCGACGAATTTCTTGAAGCCGATGGGGGCGAGGGCGGCGAGGTACCAGTCTACCGTCTCTTTGTAGATTGAGGCGGGGACGTAGAGGCCGATGTGGTCGATGGACATGTTGGGTTGCTGTTTGAGGTAGGAAGTGTAGAATGGTGAATGTGTTGGGTGGAGGTAGTGTAGAGACTCGATTGCCAGATTTGGAGGTTGAGATTTGGGTTGTGAAGCTGTTGATGACGGAGGAGGGGAAGTGAGAATGTGAGGGAGGTCTGCGGGGTATTTTGTAGATGATGGCTTTTGATCTACGCGGTATCGCGTGGACTAGTTTCACGGGTATTGGAAAGTCCCGTCCGTCTTGGAATGGCGGCGCGAAGGAGGCGCGCGGACACGTGCAAGGAGGGGGGGATTCGGGGGTCAGGTATCACCGCAAGCGGCCGCCGGTATCTACTTCTGCTAGGTCAGGGTCTAGAGGAATTACACTAGAGCCGTGCCGGTCTGACTCAGATTGTCATCCTCTAAACAAGAGACACGAGAGTGCTTGCTATCTCGAAGCTTTCACGCCATGTCTGTCAGCAACGCTGCCTATTCAGGAGGGACTTTGGGGAGTTGTTCCGCCGCGGGAGGTCCCCGCCCGGAGCTATCGGCGGGCTGAGGGCGCCAAGTGGGGCCGCGTAGGCAGCAGCTGCGCCGGGGCGGATGTTTCCTGCTTCCCTGCGTCTGCGTGGTGGATCGTGCGGGGGAAGATAAGCTTGGACGAATGACGATCAGATGAGATGGTAACGGTGAGTTTTCACGGGTGCCTACTGCGAATAGGGGTATCTCTGCGTGAATCGATGCTCTGAAGGGGGGATTCTGACTATGTAACATGTTCCACCCGCAGCTGATGTCACACTCACCGCCCCTTTGCAACACTTGTCGGCCTGTCTACGGCGCCTGTGAGCACCGTTCATCCAGCCGTGATGTTGGTCAATTCCTGTCCCATATGCAGGTCGCCGGGCTCTAACTTGGAATTCTATCTTCATCGTGTTACAACAATATTGGTACAGGGTGCTGTGCAGTGGCTAAATAGCCATCCACGTCACTCTCAAATCTTTGCGAAGATGCTGCTGTTGATACGGAATCTAACCATCGCGACAAGGCCAGCTGCCGCCAATGACAATGATCCGGCGTAGAACATGGCCGGACGGTACGCTTGAAGACCGCCCTCGGCGCCACCGTAGGCTTCCAGAAGGTATCCAGCAATCGGCGAGCCCTATATCGACCTCGTCAGTACATCGTGATGAGCGACGTTGAAACCACGCAACTCACCATAAGATAGCCGCCAGCCCAACCAGTCACAATCATGCTCATAGCGACAGACACTCTCGCAGATCCAAAGGTGTTTCCGACGACCGTAGGCATAGTCGAGAAGAACCCGCCGTTCGAGACGCCGTTGATGATGACAAAGGCAACCATGGGACCGAGCGAGGTCGAGACGGGCCAGATGGCCAGAATACTGACTGCGGAGAGGGTGAGTGATACAAAGAGGACGTTGAGCGCCCCAAAGGCGTCGCAAAAGGCACCGCAGCAGATGCGGCCGACGGCGGAAGAAAAGTTGAATCCCGCTACTAGGCCGGCACCCGTGGAGGAGGAGAGGCCGATGGATTTGGAGTAGAGGGGGAGGAAGAAGGGCGGGACGAAGAGGGGGAACGTCCCGACTGCGCCGGCTAGGAAGACTAAGACGAAGGTGAGGGACTTGAAGAGGCGCCTACATTGCTTTTGTAAGTCATTGTTGCAGAATACGTCTTGGAGTTCATGGCGAGGGAGGAAGAGAGATTCTTACCACTCGACAAAACCGGAGCTGCGGACGGGGACGCGCTCTTTGATGAGCCATGCTGCTGGGAGCCCAGTGGCCAAGGTGACGAGAGCAAGCACGCGGTAGGCCCATGCGGATCCGAGATGGTTGAGGAGGGCGTCAAGGGCGAAGCTGTTTACGGCGCCGCCGAGGCCACCGCCGGCGAAGACGATGCCGTTGGCGAGGCCGCGCTTGCGGCTGAAGTACTGTGCCGGGACCACAGAGACGATCTGGATATGATCTTGTCAGCAAGCCTGTTTGTAGATGTTTGGTCGCCGAAGGAGCGCAACTCACCGTGAAGCACAAACTTGATAATCATTAGCATCAACATTTTGACAGAAGCTCCACGAATGGACAACATACCTCATACCCAGCCCCATGATAACACCACTCGTAGCAAACATGGCGCCGACGTTCTTCACCGCAAAACTACTCAGCAACTCACTCACCCCCAACAGCGAGATCCCCAACAAACCCGTCCTCCTCGGCCCGATCCATCTCATGACGCGCGAGTTGACAATCGCCAGCGCCGAGATGAGCGCCGCGGCCAGCGACCCGACAAACGAGAGCACGGCGGGCGTGCCGAGGCCATCTTCGATGAGGGCGCCCTGGATGACGCCCCACGAGTAGGACGTGCCGATGATCCACCAGGCGACGACGAAGCAGCCGCCTACGACGACCCAGCCGTAGCCGCCTTCGGGGACGGTGGAGTCTGCTTCGCGGGAGGCTTGGAGGATTGGGTCTGCGCTGTCGTCGGGGTGCTGCTGCTGCTGGGAGGTTGATGATGTGTAGGGGCAGGGCTTTTGGGATATGGTGGCGGGGAGGGGGTGAAGTTCTATGCCTGAGGTGGATGCTGAGGCCGAGGCTGTTGCTGTTGTTGTGGTTGTTGACATGATGGTGAGTATTGGCTTGAATTGAGCTTTCCTATGACCAAGGACAGGAACCGGCAGCTTTCTCGTTCCAACTGGTTATGCTCTTTCTACAATAAGACCAGGTGGTGAGCACAAAGATTGAAGAGTTGACAAAGGCGAAAAGCGAGGTCAGCAATGAACGGCAAAAAGTCTAGTAGCCCCACCAACGCCCAGCGCGCCCTTCCGTTGACAAGGCTCCGATTTCTAGTAGCTTCCGGCTCGGCGGTTGGAGGGCTACCGGACGCCGAGTGAATTGACCGTGAGCCCGTCAAGGTCCGATGAATTGTGTTTCCCGCTGTCCGGGATGCCGGGACTTGACCACTGGTTTAGTTGACGGAGCCAAGATGTCGTTAGCATTTCACCACCACACTAGTGTCGCGATGGATCATGGATGCATGCAGCCTGGGACATGTGCTTGTGGGGGCATTAATCCGATACCGAGCTCAGGGACCCGGTGTAAGTGAGCGTGCGTCCATCTTTTCTAGCATTATTCCTCATGCCTCCAAACAAATGTCTGTTTGTCTAGTCCTGGACAACATCAAGGCCCTCCGTAATAAACCCCCACCACTATCAGTACCTACTTTACGGAGGAGTACACAGTGACGCAGTAAGAAAGCTTGTCCATGACCATACCTAGATCGCCAACCTGCGGGGAAAGATGGCGAGGGCGGGGTTCTTCAGGTTCGTCAGTGGTCACCAATTAAAGTTAAATGACGTTGCATCAGCCCAAAAAAAAAAAGAGCAGCCCCATTCCGCTCGGAAATCGGCTAGCGAGGGCTCGGAGGACCCCCGCCAGCTTCCAGGACAGGAGCGGGAGCTAGGAAACTGTAACTTGCGCCGGCCACTCTCTGAAGCCTGGAGGTTGCAGCATGATGATGTTGGGGAAGTATTATCTGGCTTTCTTGTGTTTCTTACGTCTATTGACCATTTCCGATGGAATGATGGTTATTCAAGTGGGGGTAGCCCAGGTCTGGTCTTGTCCCTCGATTGCTACCCGGTAGAAAACAGTGATCAGTGACGAGTGTAAACTCGAATGCATGTTGACGTGGTATCACACACAAATTCTCAAAACATCATCTCGAATATGAGAGTTGACATGCCCATGAGGAAACTATGGAAACTCTAATCCACAAAGGGTCGATGTGAGACAGAATGTACCGGTGGGATGGAAGAGTATGAGTTGCGCGCAAGAATGATAAGACTAGAAAGAATCGATTACATGGAGTCAAACGTAGCGACGAGAGTGAATCCTAGCGCATCCGATGCAAGATCTTCCCCAGAATCTGAGAGGGGATGAGATGGGATGAGATGGGATGACGGAACCTTAACGGTAGGTATGTTCCTTGCGATTAGATTGTACGTAAACTCATGTTGAGCGTCTCAACCTCTGAATGAATTAGACAAACGCTGATTGGATTGAAACTGAGGACGGCCGTTTTGCGGTGTCATCCGGTTTGTGACGGAAGTTGGAAGCGAGATTGGGAGAGGGAGGAAAGGTAAGGTACGGAGTAGGTACTTCGTACTTGCCCTGGTAAGGAGGAATACGGGATACGGGTATGCCAAACCGAGCAAGTCCCATCCCGTCTTGGCATTCGGCAGGCGCGCTTGCCCAACAAGCCAGAGGAGGGGGAAGTCACGATGCCTTGCCTTTCTCAGTTTGCGGCAAGAGACACAGACAGACGTGCCTTCTCGAGTTGTGCGTGGCGCTGGGCTCTTGTACCTTAGCAAAGCATCGTGACGTACCAAATCACGGGATTCTTGGCTCATTGAATAAAGCAAGGGGAAGGTACGAGGTACTCTAGATTTCTGAAAAAAGGCACGACGGCACAAAAAGGGAAGGGGTGACTGAATTTCTGGGAAAAAAAAATTGGAAAAAAAAAAGACACGGAAGTTGCTGCCGGTGGCTCTTGGCAGCTGGAATTAGGCGTGTTAGTCAGCAAGAAGTCGTCGTAATGCTTTCCCAAATTTTTCTCCAGGTGTGGATCCCCTCGGACCCTCCTCCTCCTCCATTGTCCCAGTCACCACCCGCGCCTTGCCCGCGTCTCCGCTGGCCTCGCCATTCCTCTTCCCGCCCCAAAGACCACCAAGACCAACGAGTCCCCGACTCGCCCCAAGACTCCAAGACCCAAGACTTTCTTGTTCCCCCCCCCCATCCCCGAACTCCCCCTCCAAGCGACAAGACTTGCAACGTCCCGCCGCGCGTCCAAGTCTTTTTTTCTCACTCTTGTGCTCGTTCTCGTCTTGATCAAAGTCGGTCCCCGGATTCAGTCTCACCTTGAACGTTAATCTCATTCTACTTGAGATTAGGTGGTCTGTCAGATCTCCCATTCCGGTCCGAACCTTCTTTTGCGCACTTCGCCCTTCCTGGAACTACCTACTACACCTACGGAGACAGGCTTCACCTACACCAAATATGGCAGCCTCTTCTCAGCAATCCAAGGTTCTCATCCTCGATGGTGGCCTCGGCACCTCCTTGGAAGACAAGTACGGTATCAAGTTCGAGTCAGCTACCACGCCTCTCTGGTCTACCCATCTCCTTGTTGATGGCCAGGACACTCTTCTCGCCTGCCAGAAAGACTTTGGAGATGTACCCGTTGACATCATCCTTACTGCCACCTATCAGCTGTCCATCCATGGCTTTGCCAACACCCGCAATGCTCAGTTCCCCAACGGTATCGACAAAGCCAACATTGGAAAATTCATTCAGGACGCCATTCGCATTGCTGATGAGGCAGGACGTTCGCAAGGAAGCAAGACGGCTCTCAGTATCGGTCCCTATGGAGCTTGCATGATCCCTGGCCAAGAGTACAGCGGCGCCTATGACGCCGAGCACGATACTCTCGAGAAGCTGCGCGACTGGCATGCCGAGCGGCTCCAGCTTTTTCAATCCGCCGGCGCTTTCTCATCCCCCGTCAGCTATGTCGCCATTGAGACTATCCCGCGCACCGATGAGATCCAGGCTGTGAGGCAGGCCCTGGACAAGACCCAAGCCTTGGCCTCTGACGCTCCCATTCCCTTCTGGATCGCATCGCTTTTCCCCGGAGAGGATGGCCTCCTGCCGGATGGATCTTCCATCAAGGAAGCTGTGACGGCTATGCTCAGCCGTGACGTCGCGACGAGCCATCCCTGGGGCATCGGCATCAACTGCACCAAGGTGTGGAAGTTGGAGTCTCTCATCCAGAGCTACGAATCCGCTGTCAAGGAACTGATTCAAGAGGGCGCCGTCGACGCCGCTCCCGCTCTCATTCTCTATCCGGATGGCACCAACGGCGAAGTCTACAACACGACAACCCAAAAATGGGAGCTTCCTCAAGGGTCACAACATCCTACCTCGTCATGGGAAGCCCAACTCTCACAAGTGGTTGCCAACGCCGAATCTCGAGGTTTGTGGAAACAGATTGTTGTGGGTGGATGCTGCAAAGCAAGCCACGCTGACATTGCTCGGCTCCGAACTGCAGTAGAAGGCCTATCTCGGTAGAAAAACACAGGACGAACATTTATAGATCGGCTTCCACCTCCGGCTCCGGCTCCGGCCTCGGCCTTCGGCACCGTGCCGAACTCCTCTCCCGGCCCTCCGAGATCGACCACCGCCGGCCTGGTTGTACCATGCACCATGCACCATGCACCATGCACCATACACCATGCACCTTGCACCATGCACCATGCTCCAAAGCAAAAAGACATTTCCCAAAAGGAAGCCCTCTATCCGGTGGTATCGCTGCCCCATGCAAAAGAGGGAGTCCCCCCCTCTAGTGGCCAGTACGGCCAAAGCAAAAGAAAAAAAGAAAAAGGCATTTCATGTCATCATTCCAAGTTGTCTTTTTTTTCCCATCATTTCTTCCAACCTTGTCTCGTTGTTATCGCTTGGGCTTTCCAGTCGTCGAAGCGCTTCTGTCTCTTTTGCTGTTCTTTCTCGTTCCACGCCGCAATCGGCTGGATGGGTAACCTGGCGAGCATCTCGTCTAGGTCGAAGTGGCGTCTGAGTTCGCCGTTGACGCGGATCTGGATGGTTCCGATGCCTTCGTACAGGGCGGCGCCGAAGTCGGCCCAATCACGATACATGGACAGGAGACCTCCAATCTGGCAGCACATGAAGAAAGCCAGCTTCTCGGCTGGAATGAGGTGCTCCTTGCCTTGTGGCGGACGGGGCCAAGTGATCCCTCTGCTCTCTCGCTTTTCCGCGTCCATGACCATGGTGGTGAACCTTTCAAACATGTCATGGGCGGGCGGTCGCGGTGCACCGCCGGAGACAAGCCGATCGTGCTTCTGGCCAGGCGGCGGTGGCAGTACGTCGAGCACGAGGTTCTTGATGGTGAATTTGGCCGGGTCGGCGACGATACTACTGAAGGCGGTCGGGCCATACTGAAGATAACCGGACAGCATGGCATAGAAATTCCAGACGATGAAGGGCGGACCGCCGCTACCGCCTCGAAACTGTTCCTCATTCTTCCAGTCCGGGTTGACATCGGAGGGGGGGTCGAAAATTCGAAATTGGACTCGGAGGCTGTCGGCATGGCGGGTCGCTCTTGGCACCGCGAGCCAAGTCGGCCACAAGCCACATTCCTTGACATACATTACATCGAGACGGCAATGCGTCCCCCTTGTCGCAAGCAGCGCCTTGGCTTCGGCGTATATCTGTCGATTGACGAGGAAGATGTTGGTGTTGGGGGAGCCGGAGGGCGGGGAGCGAACCTTCTTCTCAACCCAAATGTCGTGGCCATCGAAAAAACCTTTGCCCTTGTACTCGCGCCTCTTGCGGTCCTGGCTGACGGAGGGACTGGGCGGTGGTTGGCGGTCAGGAAGGAAGATGATTTCGTCGAGGATCAAATCGCGAATTTCCCGCGGGATGCTGAGTAAACCGACGACCATGTTTGCGGTTGTGGCTGTTGTGCGATTTGATGTTTGCTGCAAAAAAGAATTAAGAAAAAAAAGGGAATTTGCTTGTACAAACGCAACCGCACAACTGGAGAGACAGACACTTGGGTGAGAGTGTCGCACAGAGAGGGGGTGGGGGCAGTGGGCAGTGGTGGGCAGGGACGGGGACTAATCGACAGAATTTGGACGGGGTCGGGTGGCAACGGCGGGCAGCAAAGCAGACGCAGGAGGAGTCTGAGGAGGAGGTCTGGCTGCTAGTACAAAGGTATTGTACAAAGGTACGGTGACCCTGACTGACCTACTGACTCCCTCACCTGCAGCAGGGCAGCCAAAAAAGAGTCGGTCGAGTCGTGGAGGGCGAAAATTTACTCGAAAAAGGCACCACAGAAAAGTCGGGGTTCGAGGTCGAGTGAGGCGCAGCACGCAGCTCGCAGCGGCAGCGGAGTCGGCCCTTTGACCAACGACGTCATTCGACTGTGCGAAGGCGGGCCAAGAGGGAGGAGAAAGAGGATGTGAGGAGAATTTCGAGGGCCGACGAGACGAGCAGAAATCCGGAATACCGAATCAACAAAAAGAAAGAAAAAAAGACGCGATGAAAGTCAAAGTGATAAGGAATTTTCGGATAGACACGACGGGAGACGGGAGACGGGAGGATGGGGTGGAACCGGGTATTGTGTGTGAGTGTCAGTGTCGGTGTCGGTGTCGGTGTCGTGCACGAGGCCATTTACCATTTCCCAGGAAACATCTGGGAGGGGGGTCGGATAAATTGGTGCTATGCGTTATAGTAAGTTGCAGCGCCACTGACTAACTATGTGATGCAGGGGAATTTTTATTTTTTTCTTTCTTTCGAGATTTGAGTTTTTGGGTGCTGCTTCGTGCTGCTTCATTCGCGTTGAAAAGTCGATGGCGAAGAGGGCGAGGTTGCGTATGCGCGGGTGCGTGTGCGTGTGTCTAGGTATGGTAGTCTGCACCGCTTCTGGTGCGTGCTGATGCTGGTGCTTGTGCTTGTGCTTGATTCAGCTTGGGGTTCTTTTGCTCTTGGGAGCAGCTGTATCCGTATTATGGCAAAGTAGGTACGCAGCAAGGTAAGGTAGGCCAACTCGGTCTGGAGCGAGCCGAGCTGACCATATTATGAGAATTGGCGATGGATGCTACGCCTCACTCGAAACCATGTCCATGCGATTGAGAGATGAACAGTCTACCAGGTAATTACCGTACTACAAAGCAGCAAGAGAGAATTGACCGACGGGCCAGCCATAGAGAGCTGTGGCCCGTGGAGCGGAACAAGAGTCTTCGGTAGGCTTCCCCGGTAGCTCCCCGAGACGGCAGAACACAGGAACAAAAGAAATTTTGAACAAATAAAAACCATAGACCAGCAGACCAGACCAGACCAGTGAACAGCGATCCAGTCATCAAAGGAAGAACTAGGAGCGGAGCGAGTGCGTGCGGGCGTTTCTGCGGTGTGTGGACTTGCGCGTGCGTGTGGTGGTCAAGTGCAGTGCAGTGCAGTGCAGTTCCTTTTACCCCATATCCTCCTCTCCATCTGGAAGAGGAGGAGGGGGGCAGTGGTCCATGGTCCATGACAGGATGGGGGGGTCCATTACGCTGCTGCTGATGCAGAACGTAGTGGCCTGACTGACTAAGAACAAGAATGAAAGAAAGAGAGAGAACTGGCCAGGCTCAAGCCAAGTTTTGCTGCTGTGAAGCTGCTGCGCCCCGGGTTTTGTTGTATAGCGCTACCTGTGAGTACGGATACTCGGTGTATGTCTGCTACATCTGCTTCAGTACGGCAGTCTACATCTGTATCCGAAGTGTGTCTGTGTATGTAGGCGCATGTCTTGTCCATCTTGGGTTTGGTCTTTCCAGCGTCTTCTCGTGGCTGGGGTTTGCTGGGCATCGGCATCCTGTCCTGTCCTGTCGGGTCCGTCCCCCCCTCACTCATGCGAGCTGCCGAGGGACGGAGGGTTCTCTTGCAGGCCCTGCTGCTGTTCCTCTCATCACTTGTGCCCGGGCACCTATGCATCCAGACGGGGGTCCTGTTCTGCCCTTTACCACTGAATGGAGCCCGGGATCGGTAGCTGCTGCTGAAGGGGTTTAGTAAGAGGGATTTTGTGTCCCGGGGGGCATGTGCCTTCGTTGTTGCCGCCGCTTGCTGGCTCGTGATAGACGTGGAGACCAAGTTCAAACCAACGGGCGCACGATGAATGGAAAAAGGTGAAGAAGTGAACCGGGATGAGCCATGGTTGAGAGCTCTGGAGGCCGCCTGCGGACTGGGTCTATCGGCCTTGAACTTTTCTCTCTCCCTCTCTCACACGCTATCCGTACTGAGTATCCGTACAGACAGGACCTGTTTGGGAGGGGCGCGTGTGATGGGATCGACACTACCTTGTTCCAGCTGGGGTTTCCTCACTCTCTCACTCACTCTAACTTCTAAGAGTCTCTGTAGGGGGGTTCCCTGGTCTAAGAGACTGAAGGAAATGCCGTTCATCGTGGTCTACGTCAAACGAGCCAAATAAGAGCGCAAAAATCTCCAAATTAAGCGCGGCCGAGGAGGGAGCAGCAGCAGCAGCACCGTAGCACAAGCAGACTGCTGTTAGTCTCTTTTCCCCTTCAATCCATGGTTTCGGCGCCGACCTCCAGAGTGAATGGCAAGCAACCTACCCTGGCTCACAGGATTTTGTCTGCCCAGTGCATTTGTTACAGTGATGAACGGGCACAACCCCCAGGCCCTAGAGTGCCCTGGTAGCTGTCGGCACCGGCACATACATAGTAGGGCGCGGTGATTTGTACTGATTGGAGACTTTTGGTGTGTCGATCGCCGGGCAAAGACCAGATTGGGGGTGTGTTTCTTGAGCGGCCGTTTTGGATCTGCTCGTTTTCGTCTTTTCTTTGAGGGACTTAGTCATGGAGAGGAGGCATCGCCATCGTCATGTTGTACGGGGAACTGTTGCAGGGCTTCAATGAGAGCAAAGGAAATCGCGGGCGAGTGGCAGTGTAAGTCAAAAGTACGTACAAGCTGGAGACCTTGATGAATTGCCATCTGCTATTGCAATTCAGTACGTCTATTTTCGCTCTCTATCTCGCGGCCCGAGGTGTCTGGTGGAAAGAACAATAATAGAAGTAAACTAAACAACAAAGAAAAAGAAGACGGCACATGGGAGCAGCAGGCCGATTACAAGCGGGCAGGCTAACAGACCGCCGAAGAAGCGGGATGGGGCTTGCTGACGATGCGGCATCACCGCTTCTTACGCAACAGAAAGCATCGACGGATCATGGCAAAGACCGGAGGGGAGCAGCAACGGCGACGGCAATGTGTGGCGGTGGCCGTGGCTCTAGGAGATACCTGGGTATCGCCTTGGACACCTCACTGAGTTAGATTGGCGCAGCTTTCTCCAAATGTTTTTTCCAAAAAGTCGGTACATGCCGATTTCAAAGTTCTGATTCTACAGAGTACACAGCAAGATTGATGACTGGCATGGGGCGCCGGCGAGAGGGCCGGGTTTCTTTGGGGTGGTGCTTCCGGCGGCTGTGGAGTCGCACAAAGATGAGTTCGTGAAGAAGCAAATGAGTATCCGTAATCCCTCAGCTATTCTCATCGAGAGGGAATAAAAAAAGGCGCACAATAGAGATGACGAGGGCAAAACAAAGGGTGGCTAGCTCCCCAATACTCTCCGATTGGTAAATGACGCGCGGCGCGGGATGGTGAACTTGAGCAGACAAAATTGGGGGTGAAGACTGGATTCGGCATGCGTCTAGTCTAGCTTCCCCCAGCTTTTCTGTGTAACAACAGAGCTCTCTGTCGTATTGGAATGTTGGATGGCACTTTGAAAGCAGCGACTGGCACAGCTGCAAGTCAGAGGAATCACTTCACCTCTGGATGTGGGCATCCCGGACGCGGGCACCGCTAACTGCTTGCAGCAAACCGAGACCTGAGCTCTTTCTCCACACTCACAACTCACACTGCAGCGGCGGTCAGCTCGCCGCTCCTGTGCCTGGCTCCAGTTCCCCGTGGTGGGTGTTGCTGGTGATGGATGGGGTGGTGTTGTTGTTGGAGAAACGGTGAAAGAAAGCATGTCGAGAGCACTTGCACCAGAAGGGGACTGGACAGAGAGGGAATGGATTGTGGCAGTGCCAGCGCCAGCGCCAGCAACAGCAAGGCCTATCGAGTCTCCCCCTCCTCCATGTCGTTCTCCTCCCCCGTGTTCCCCTTCTCCTTTGCAGCAGTGTCTGCTCTCTCCGTTCTCGTGTAAACCTGTAGACCAGTCGTGGGAGGCAGACAATCATCAGGAAAGAAAACTGTTAGCGGGACCAATAATATTCTCATTCTCTGCCTTCAACCTGTATAATTCGACTGGAGCAGCAAACTGGATTCAAGCTACGCTAGCTGAGAGGATCTCCAATGGGCGGATGGATCGATGGGTCGGCCAGTGGGATGAGTGCAAAAACCAGATGCAGGGCTGTAGAGGATGATGAGAGAGTATCCGTACGGAGTAGAGACGAGAACAAGAACAAGATCAGAGGATGGATCATGGACCAGGAAGCACATGGGCGCGAGAGCCCTCTTCTTCCTCCTCCTCCTCCTCCACACATCCTCCACAGCCCGCACCAAAACCAAGCCATGTAAGAAGTGGTCAGCATCGCCAACCTGGTCAACCATCTCTGGTATCCATACTCCGTAGACAGTTACACTACGGAGTACGGAGTAGGTGTCTAGGAAGACAGGAAGGGCTAAGGCAAGGTAGAGGACGGGTATCGAGCGTGGTGCCGCGAGCACGGGACAAGATGCGCCAAAACCTTGATTGGTTGTCACTGGCAAAGTCCTCTGAGAGCCTCCCTTGCGCCAAGAGATACTTGGATATCCAACTCTCAAGACTTCACCAACGTGTAATTTCGCATCAACGCCTCCAACCCTTTCTATGAGCGATTTATCACCCTCAATACTTGCACCTTTTTTTTTTTTTTTTTTACTTTTCAACCAGGTCCGTTGTTTACCTACCATAGCCGTGCCTTGTCTCTCTTTCTGTCAGTCTATGCCGCTGCTCCCATTTTTATTTTTATTTTTATTTTATTTTTCTTCTCCCGTTCTAAACGCCCTCCCTCCAAACCAACCACCCCCCCCCCGTCCACCCATTTCGTCTCCTCCAAAGCGCAACCGAGCCTCCTGAGTCCTGCCCTCCTTGGTGCGGCCGCACGCAACGTTGTTTCTGTGACACGCCTCTCGCTCTTGATTTGGACACCTCTTTTGCTTGCTCGCCCTGCTCATTTCAAAACAGCCCGGCCTGGCTTAGCCGCGCCGGAGCAAAAGTTTCGCGCATGAGGCATGAGATTCCCATCCTTCTGTCAGACGTGTCGGCCACAGTACGCTCGGCACGTTGGATTCCCAGTGCCATTGCACCGCCTCCTGGCGCCGTAGATACAAACGGCCGTCCAACCTCCATCCTTCTTCGCACGTCGCCCGTCGGTTCTGCTCGTCGAGTCGTCGTCTAGTAAGGGTAGGTAGGTAGTTGCCGATGTTGCCTATAACGGTCAGGTATTGGCCTTGAGGCCTTGTTCCTGTTTGTCATTGCTCACCACGTTCGTTCCTCGTCGCCCATGCCTTGCCTTGTCTCTTGTATCGTCTGGCCTGTCTGAACTGGGGAACGCGACTTTGAACTTGCACCCCCATTCCCTCCTTCTCCAGTCTCTTGACTATACGCCCTGCCCATCCCATCCATCCACCTGCTCGGGAGTCAGAAAAGAAGAAAAAAAAGCCGCTCGCTTGGTGTTTCCCGTCCTCTTCCCCTCCCTTTCCTGCGCCCAAAACAGGCTCATATTGTGTTCCTCTTACTTGACACCATCCCAAGTCGATCCAAGTCAAGCAAAGCGTCGAGTCCCAGCCCATGCCATGTGATGGAATAATGCGGATGCCGCAATCTCCGCAATGGCGGTGCGGCGTGTACAGTACCGTACCTTTTGGGAGCGGTTGATTGTCTCTCGTAAACATTTGCATACACAAATGCCAAGAGCTCATGATAGACATGAGGGTTAGGACGGATACCCTCTTCTGGACTTCCCGTCCATGCTCTCGTCTCGTGGCCCTGCTTTGTCCATTTCGTATATAAGTCCCTGGATGTTTTGCAGGACGTTGCAGTGCAGATCTGCTCACAGACTCGCTCACTTCTCACTTCCCTCCCTTCTCTCCCTCTCCTCTCTGGGTGAGGCCTCCCTCTTGTTGTTACTCTGAGCTGTCCTGACAACCCGTAAAACCCTATTCTACCCTACCCTTATTCTTATCTCGAGATCACGTTGCACCAAAAAGGTTGCCAGCCCAGAAAAAAGACCGCATAGAAAAAAATGGACGACGAGCTTGAGCTCAAACACCAGAAGGAGGCGGCCGGTGACCGTATTCGCTGGGACGCCGACGAGGAGGCCGGCAGGAAGGCTCACCGCTCTAATGCTGGCCCGGCTCTCCATCATGCCCGTTCAAACACGTCAATGTCTATACACTCGGTCCGGTCGAGACGCAACTCCATCGACGCTGCCGCTGAGCTTCCCATCCAGTACCGCACGGTGTAAGTGTGGAAACATGCGACTTTGAAAGAAAAAAAGAAGAAAAAAAAAACATGACAAGAAATGCCTCATCAACATCTTTCTCTCGGCTAACAACACTCTTCGAAAAGTTCTTTTGAGATTGAAGAGTACAAGTCAAAAACCGAAGCCGTCAAGAAGGCCAAAAATGTCGCAACAGGTTCGTAAAGTCATCTAACAGCCCTCGTCTTGATCTGTTGTGTTTCGGAACCAGAGTGAACTACAGCGACTAATACCATCTGCAACTTCTGCAGAACTCTCGGAACTCGAATGGCACACCCTCTCCGTCGACGAGGTCCTCAGACGCCAGTCGTCCTCCCTCGCAGACGGCCTCTCCCCGGACCAGATCCAGCGCCGCACAGCACACTATGGCAAGAACGCGCCCTCGGCCGCCCCGACAAATCATACGAAACGCATCCTCGGATACTTCTTCAAGGGCTTTGGTACAGTCCTCCTCGTGGCTTCCATCCTCGTCTTCATCGCGTGGAAGCCCCTGGGAAGCCCGCCGGCCGTGGCTAACCTAGCGCTGGCCATCGTGCTGCTCGCCGTTTTCTTTATCCAGGCTGCCTTTAACATGTGGCAGGACTGGTCCTCCTCAAGAGTGATGAATTCCATCAAGACTATGTTGCCTGAGAACTGCATGGTTATCCGTGACGGCAACCAGGTTGAGCTCATGGCTGAGAACATTGTTCCTGGTGATATCCTCATTGTCAAGTCGGGCAACAAATTGCCAGCCGATGTGCGCTTCCTCAAGGTCTCTTCTGATGCAAAGTTTGACAGAGCTATCTTGACTGGTACGTTGTTTTCTCTTTGTGTTTTGTATCCAATCATGCACCCCTGATCCAAAAAAAAGTTCTTCCCATGTTAATACTGGATTTGATCACTGACAAAGTACAAAACAACAGGAGAGTCCGTTCCTTTGCCTGCTGCTGTTGATTCGACCGATAACAACTACCTCGAGACTCGATGCATCGGTCTTCAGGGCACACATTGTGTTTCTGGCACTTGCACTGGCATTGTCGTGGCCACCGGTGACAATACCATTTTCGGACGCATCGCCAAGCTGACCAACGAGCCCAAAAAGGGGTTGACGACTTTGGAACGCGAGGTTTTGCACTTCGTGCTGATCATCTGCTCCATCATGTTCCTTATGATTGTGCTTGTCTTGATTGTTTGGTATGTCATCAGGCCAGATACACGTGTAGTCAGGGGTCAAATGCTAATTGTTATCTTTTCATCAACAGGGGTACATGGCTTAGGAAACAGTATCCTAACTGGATCAACGTTCCCAACTTGATCATCTCTTGCGTCTCTGTTGCCGTGGCTTTCATACCTGAGGGTCTGCCTGTTGCTCTGACGGCAAGCATGACCATCAGCGCCAACATGATGCGGAAGAACAAGATTTTGTGCAAGTCACTCAAGACTGTCGAAACACTTGGATCTGTCTCGATTATTTGTTCCGACAAGACTGGTACACTCACTCAGGTCAGCTGCATTGTTATTCATACTTGATCTATTATAGTCTAGAGACTGACCAATCACCTTGCAGAACAAGATGATCGTTACCGAGTGTGCCATCGGTACCATGAAGATGACGGCCGACGGTGCCCGGGACAAGATCGCAGTCGACCGACACAACCACCCTAATAACAACTCGTTGGAGCAGCTTCGTGCTCTTGCTGGTCTCTGCAACGCCGGTCATTTCGATGCCGCGACTGTACGTTTGCCTCTCCACGAGCGTGTCATCCACGGTGATGCTACGGACCAGGCCATCCTGCGCTTCTCCGAGAGCCTGGGTCAGACCGCCGAGCTGCGCCGCTGCTGGCAGACAAAGTACGAGCTTGCCTTCAACAGCAAGAACAAGTACATGATTCGGGTCCTCGGCATGTCACACCCCGACGGGCTTTCCCTTGCTTTGCCTTCCGACACTGCTTCGGTGTTCCAGCCAGGTGATGTGTAAGTCTCCATTTCAAACATGATTCCAAAGGAGGAACCTTGTCTAACACAGCAACTATTCTAGTTTTTTGACCATCAAAGGTGCTCCTGATGTGCTCATGCCAAGATTGAGCAACTACGTCAACCCTGCCGGGTACACTACTTCCCTGGATCCTTCAACCCGTGCATCTATCGAGCAGATTAAGGATGAATGGTCGGCTCAGGGACGTCGCGTACTGTTGCTCGCTCGCAAGGCCATCTCAAGATCTGCCCTCAAGGGCCACCCGTCTGATAGCGCCTACGAGATGGAAATCAACAACCAGGCGAAATCCGGTCTTACGCTCGTCGGTCTTGTCGGAATCGTCGATCCTCCCCGTCCCGAGATTCCCGAGGTTATGAACACCCTTCGCGGCGCAGGCATCCGCATCTTCATGGTAAGCTGCTCCCGATAACCTATTGCAACTCTAAATCACGCAGAAGACTGACCAAATACAGGTTACCGGTGACTTTGCTCTCACTGCCCAGGCCATCGCAGCCGAATGCAACATCATCAGTGTTCCGCGCTCGCAAGTCGACGACATCTCTGCTCTCCAACGCATCAACCACGTCGACCCCTCGATTAAACACATCGTTGACGACCTCGAGTCCTCCCCGCGTCAAGCCCTCGTCCTCTCCGGCCCCGAGTTGATGACCCTCAGCGAAGAGCAGTGGGATCAACTTGCTCAATACCAGGAAATCGTCTTCGCTCGCACGACGCCAGAGCAGAAGCTCCGCATCGTCCGCGAACTGCAGTCCCGTCACGAGATCGTAGGTATGACCGGCGACGGTGTCAACGACGCACCCTCACTGCGCGCCGCCGACGTCGGCATCGCACTGGGTTCCGGAAGCGACATTGCCATCGAGGCCGCCGACATGGTTCTGCTTGATTCCTTCTCCAGCGTCGTCGAGGCCCTGCGGTGTGGACGCATGATGTTCGACAACCTCAAGAAGACCGTCGCCTACCTCCTCCCGGCTGGTAGTTTCTCCGAGTTCTGGCCCGTCATGACAAATGTCCTCTTCGGCATCCCCCAGATCCTCAGCAGTTTCCTCATGATCATCATCTGCCTCTTCACTGATGCCGCTGCCGCCATCGCCATGGCCTATGAGGCGCCCGAGGCCGACGTGCTTCTTCGCAAGCCCCGTGTGCCTGGAAAGGACCGCCTCGTCGACTGGCAACTCGTCGTCCAGTCCTACGGTCTTGTGGGTGTTTTGGAGACCTTGTCTTCGTTCGCCATGTCCTACTGGTACCTGGAGCGCAACGGCATCAAGTTCAGCGACATTTGGTTTTCTTTTGGCAACTTGCCTTCATCCATCGACCCGGACTACTACCAGCAGAAACTCAACGTCGCAAGCTCAATCTACTTTGTCAACCTCGTCGTCATGCAGTGGTTCAACCTCCTGGCCATCCGTACCCGTCGGCTGTCGCTGTTCCAGCACCCGCCCATCGGTAACAAGCGCACGCAGAACCTCTACCTCTTCCCCGCCATCATCTTTGCGCTCTTGATGGCCATCTTCTGGCTGTACGTTCCCGAGTTTCAGACGACGCTCGCTACGGCCCCTGTCCCTGTCGAGTACTGGTTCCTGCCGATGACTTTTGGTCTGGGTATTCTTCTCATTGACGAGGCGAGAAAGTTTGCTGTGCGGAAGTGGCCTACGGGCATTATTGCCAAGTGTGCATGGTAGATGTAGATACCGGCTTGGATTTGGGGATCGTGTAGGTACTGCAAAGGAAATACCCCTGGGCGGAAGGATCTTCCTAGTGGGAGTCAAGGGGATGGCATAGCGTTCTTTTCATTCTCATAAGCAAGCGAGCCGGCATTGACTCTGCGAGCGAATCTTACCACTTTATTTTTGTTGCATTTAACTTGAAGTTTTGCATTAGCCTGAGATTCCAATCCCCATCGACCAACAAGCAATGTTTGGAACATCATGCGCACGTATTTTATCCATTGACTTGAGTTGTGAGTCTGAACGTCATGCGACATAATTCCGGCCGTCATTGTCACGGTGCTGCCCGAGATGCAGTGATTGTCTCTAGTTCCACCCATTCAGGTTGTTCATAACTTGAGATTATGTTTGGCCTATGTGGTCAACCAATTGTAAGTCTTGCCGTTCACGTATGTTAATCAACTTGCCAAACTTCATCCATCTGTAGATGATTCTGTTGGATTCACAGGTGGAAAAGGAAAATACTCGAGTATCGTGGGTAGCAACGATCACCGACTGTAGTGGTGATATTGCTTGTTCTTGTTGTTCTTGAGTGGAAGTCTAACCAGGTGCCAGCGGCGGCAGGAAGTCTGGGGTATACCACCCTCGTGTGGCTGAGCCACACGGACCCCCGTGGCTGGAACGGACCGCGGCAGCAACCTCCTGCTGCCTAATGTAGGCCTATTCCAACAGATTCAAGCTTCTCTCCTTGATCAGCGGAAATGGGCATGCGGCACTCATAGCTTACCCAGTTCAAAGAGCACTTATTACCGTATGGGTCTACAGGGCGTATTGCTTGAAAGGTCCAGGCTAGGACACTGAATATCACTCATCTTCCTCGTACCAATGGATGCCGAGTTGCTCAAAATACCATGCGATCTAGACTATGAGAAGGGGAATGGCATTTTTTTTGCATTACCTAGCGCGATTCGGGTCGATTAGGACTCGAGACAAGCTGTGGTGTTAACAATTGGCAATTGAGTTCTGTCCTTTTACGTTCCAGAAAGATGGTTTGTCTTAACGGTGGTAGCCAATAAAAAAGTTCTAGATGCTCCGGGACTTCTTGTGTTTCGAGTAGGTCAGACCCGTCAATGGTCCTCGAAGTCCCATCTACTATCGCGTGATAGTTGAGGCTGTGCGGCTCTAAGCTGAGCAGAGTTCAGGCCTCAAGCCGAATTCTTCCGAATTATTCTGGGAAAACATCAAGTTTGATTACCTCCAGCCTCCGCGCGGCCGCAAATGACAGTGCGTTGCTAGCTGGGACTTTGGATCTTGGAGTACAAGCTGTTACCGCTTCTGGAAAGGCTGCCTTTTGAACCAAGCGACCCCGACCTTGGCATACGGCGCCGATCTATAGGCGTTCTTGGCGACGCAAGCCTGGCACGCCTGGCACGCCTGGGCGACTGGGATGAGGTAGATGGCGTAGAATTAACGCGGACATTGGTGCCGCGCTGTCGAACCAGCGTGAATCTTTCTAATCGGCATTTACGAGCGTGCTGTTCTGATGTGGTTTCGTACAGCACGCGCCAGGTAACGTCAGCACTAAGTCAATCCTTCGATAGTGACAACTCCTAAGGTCTACCGCGTACGGACAAAAGTACTTCCTATGGCTGGTTATCAAGCAGACTCGACCGGTAAGAAATGAATGCGAAAGTACTTCCTATGGCCGTTAATCAAGTAGATTCAGCCAGTAGCAAGTAAATGCTGCAACCCCAGACGCAGCAAGGATGGGATGAAGGAAATATAAAGCCATCGTCAATGCACTCTGGGGATTTCTAGCTTGCAACAAAGTCCCCAGAACTATTTGAAACCCCACGCCACCGCCCGGATGAAGTCTCCGAGTTTATTTCGTGCTGCCTTCAATCCATTCGAGGCGCCCAACGACACGGCAGGAAACCTGCAGGGAACTGGATTCCGACCCACAATGATGGATTCAAGCTGGGCACACATCAGCGACGGCTGGAACGCGGTAGAGCTGCTCTTTGAGAAGCACCACGTCTTTCTCGAAATCTTCTGGATCTCGAGCACGTACCTGCGTTTTCTAGTGCCAAGTTGGAGGAAGGTTTCGACGCCGACTCATGCAAAGTACACAGCGCTGCCCTGGATTCCTCTAATGATCCATGTCATCCTCGGAACCATCGAGCTGGCCCGATACTACTATCCTCTTGCCGTCACCGGTGAACCTCCCGTGCCAAACCTGATTGACTTTATCCTTGGACTGGCCTTCTCGGCCGGAAGCTTCCATCTGGCTGCGTATGTCCGCGAGGGGAACATCCCCTTCATCAGAACCACATTCCAGGCAACTGCTCTGCAGCGAGCGCTCGCCTCCACGTTGGGGTACGTGCATGGTGACGCGCAGTGGCACCGAGCGTCCGTCAAACTGCTGAACAACTTCACCTGGGTCCGGTGGCTCCTCGCGTCCGGGAAGCATTTCCAGGGATTCCGAACGTACGGGGACACCTTCACGGCCAGCGTGGTCATGGCTCACCCGCTTTCTTTGTGGGAGGGAGACTACCCCGTGGGGATTCCTCTCTATGCCTCCATCGTGCTCACGTTGCTGGCCGTCGACAAGTGGGCATCACGAAAACTAGACGGAAAGTGAGTTGCGCTAGAAGACCGGACAATCCAATACCGCCGTCCGAAATTGTGGTTTTTGGGCTGACCTGAACGTCACAGACCAGGGTTCGTCCCCCGCGTTCTCGCGTATTGCGGACTTGTCACCGTGAAGAAGGGTTATTTCGAAACGTCGACGTCTGGGGAAAAGCTGGAGTAGTTTGGTTGCGCGAACATGCGTGTTGGAGGTTGGAGAAGGAAACTTTCTGGGCACGTCACGGATTCCGCGAGAAGTTTTGCTTTCGGCTGCGCACATTACAGATACACGCTTAGAATCGTCGCGGAACAAGGTGGAACCATGGCTCATAATTGACATATTGTTTACAGTCACATCAGACTGATTACTTACTCTAAGGATTCAACGTTTCAAGTTTTCCGACTCTTGGCTGCTCCTTGTTGAGTACTCCGTAACGTGGTCGTAAAGAGTTTGCAAAATGAGTATTGGCAAAACAGTCACAAGAGAGCCGCAACCGCAGGAACCAATGTGGACTCGGTAAACCTCCGAGGCGCGGATGGATCACCGCATCTCGCATGCAGGTTACGGACCCAATCCCAAGTGCCGCAGCTAGTGGTCATACAACTGCATTGGGCAAAGCTCGCCGTGAAAAGGGAGAGCGAAGCCGATCGGCTCGTCGCATTCGTAGCGAGTGCCGTCAGCCGCCAGGGTCCGGCCGGCGACGTGAAGAACACGAGGGCCGCCCTGAGACTTATATGCTTCCAAGATTCCAGCCCCTTTCCACGCAGGAGAATGCTGAGATCTGATCGAAGGGGGAAAGGAACGGGCGCGGGCCTTATGCCGGCCTTATGCCGGCCTTATGCCGCTCTCTTATTGCGCGCCTTCTAGAAGGCGATAGCGTGTCTCCCTAAGTTACGCCGTGTATTACGCCGTCGTCACTATCCCCGTTCGCGCCGTCTTCTCAACGCCGCGAGTCAGCCAGCCGTTCGTGACGTGGGGGTCTTTTCGGTTCGCACATCCACTGATAGTGGTCCTTTTGGTCAACTCTTGGCCTACACTGGGGCCTTGGCATCGCCTGCTGCCGTCTTGGCTGCTGTTGCTTAATTTTCGCCGCATTGCATGGCATTGTTATCAGTGCTGGGCGGATCATCTTCAGCGGTTCGACCGTTTAACGACACTTCAACCGATGCGCCGTGTGTTTCTAGGTGGAGCCTTTTCCCACAATCCATACACCGAACCATCCATTGCATCCGTAGTCTTCTAAGGCCTGCATCTAAGCTCGTACGACCAAGCTTTTTTCTTTTTTTCTTTTGGGCTTTTTCTGCCCCCTCCTTAGCCGCCATGGACCAAAGGCCGGTTCCGCAGCCTGCTTGCTGGATGGTGGGAGGGATTTAAGTAGCAAGGCGGGACCTGGGAGGGTCGTCATGAGCGAAGGCGGCGAATAGGTGGAACGACAATTCGTCTGAGCGTCTCCACGGGGGAGGTGTGATGAAGCTATCGCCTTCAGGGAAACGGGACGGGTGTGGCTGGCTCGGTCGACTTCCGTGCTAGCCCTGGCCGACTCAACCGGGCCACGCACAACGGAGCGTAGTCGGCATTGACGACAGAGGAAGGCCCGCCGCCGCCTGTACGAATACTTCGTAGCTTTGGCTCACCTTACGCTGGTCTACTCCGTCCTGATCCGTACGCTAGATACCTTGTCGAGCACTCCCCAGGCCCGCCATGGCCATCTCCCCTCTCCTTCTTTTCTCCATCTTTTGCTCGCAGCCCCTCCACATTGCTGACCCTTACCTCAACGGAGAAGCAAGCTCGTTTGGAGTTTGGATTATGAATCTGCCTTTGCGGTCAGAATCCCGCGGGGTCTCCGCAGACCTTTCCCCACAAGGGACAGTCACATTGAGATGAACGCGGTCCGCTAGATGAAATTCCTTAAGAGTGAGGTCGCCTCGCCTCTCCGTCGTATGCTTTTAGTCTGGTTCTCTATCCCATCCTCGTCGACTGTCTGTTCTCATTCCTACCGTGCGGGCATACAATCAGGCTGAAGCTTCACCCGTCACCTGAAGAATTCGGATCACAGCCGTGCGCACACACATCAGTCCCGACAATGGGTGCGAGCTACTTCGGCCGAACGGGCAATGCCCTGAGTGTTCTCCAGATTGCTCTGGTCGTCTGCCCGGCCTTCATCCTCTTCGGATACAACCAGGCTGGCCTCGGTGGTCTCCTCACCACTGAGGATTGGGTCAAGACCTTCCCTCAGATCGATACCGTCAACACCACCGGCGAGACCAAGAACGCCAACTCAACCCTCCAGGGTTTCGTCGTTGCTACCTTCACCATTGGTGCCCTCTTTGGCTCTCTCTCATGCTCTTGGTCTGGAAACGCTTTCGGACGTCGTAACGTCATCTTCTTTGCCGGTGCCTGCACTCTCATCGGAGAGATCCTCGAGTGCGCTTCCTTCCACCTGGCCCAGCTTATCGTCGGCCGTCTCATCGTTGGTTTTGGAGTCGGTCAACTCAGTTCTATTGTGCCCGTGTGGCAGAGTGAGACCTCGGGCGCCGCGAACCGTGGTCGCCAGGTTGTCCTCACTGGTCTCTTCACTTGCGTCGGTTATGTCTTGGAGAGCTGGATCAACCTTGGCTTCTGGGAGTTCAAGACTGGCCCCGTCACATGGCGTCCCCCTATTGCCATTGCCATCCTCTTCTCCTTGATGTTGATGGGCAGCATCTACTTCCTTCCCGAGTCTCCCAGATGGCTCGTAATGAAGGCCCGATCCGCCGAGGCCCGTTCTACCATCGCCGCTTTCCGGGGTCTTCCTGAGGACTCCCTCGAAGTCCAGGCCGAGGTTGCTGGCATCGAGCACTCTCTTGAGGAGACTACGCAAAACGCCGCCAAGCTCTCCGATATGCTCAAGATGGGCGACGACAAGCTCGCCTACCGATTCGGACTCTGCATTCTGCTCCAGTTCTACCAGCAGATGTCAGGAAGCAACTTGGTGTCAGTCTATGCTCCTATCCTGTTCCAGCAGAACTTGGGCATGGATCCCGAGCAGTCCAAGGCCCTGGCCGGAGGTGCTCTTACCTGGAAGTTCCTCTCGTCGTTCTTGGCCTTCTTCGCCATTGATCGATTCGGTCGCCGTGCTGTCTTCATCTTCAGTGGTTTCGGAATGGCTGCCTGCATGACCTGCCTTGCCATCACAACATCCTTCCCCAAGGACAACCAGGCTGCCCAGATTGCCGCTGGTTGCTTCATCTACCTGTTCAACACCTTCGTACCTATCGGTTTCTTGGGTGCCAACTTCTTGTACTGCACCGAGATTGCGCCCATCCGTCTCCGCATGGCCATGTCTTCCATCTCTACTGCCAACCATTGGCTCTGGTAAGTCGCAACTGCATCTCGCATCTTCTCATCATGACTTCTTACTAACAGTTGCCCAGGAACTTCGTCGTCGTCATGGTCACCCCCGTTGCCCTCAACACGATCGGCTATCAATACTACATTGTCTACGCCGTCATCTCGGCCTGCATCCCCGTCAGCGTCTACTTCCTCTTCCCCGAGACCATGGGTCGCAACTTGGAGGAGATCGATCTTCTGTTCAAGGAGTCTCCTTCCGTGTTTGCCACGGTCAAGTTCGCCAAGAACCGACCCATCGCAATGCCTCAGGAGTTTGAGAGCGACAAGCCATCTCAGAAGGCCGATTACATTGAGAAGCAGACGGATGACTCTGCATAGTGTGAAATCGAATAATTTGGCGGCTGGGAATATGTAGGATGGACACTACAGGAACAGTTCAGCATTAGCAAGCGGAAGTCTTTTTTAGCGAAATGAATCTAAAGTCATGATCTTAGTATCTGCGAATACCACACCCAAATACTGTTCAACTTTCTATGACTACGCGTGAAGCGCCCTATCTATCCTACGGTCTAGACAGCAATCTCAACCATCCATGAAATGCTCAAAAGATGAACAATGGAGGGAGCTGGTAGAATGACAGAGCCAGTTGGCTGTGGCGCAACAGCGGCGCTCTTGGTCCCTTGAACATCGTGGTGTCTTGTTATTCCCGGGCCCACTCGTGAGCTACCTGGAAGCAAGGCGAGTGTAGGTCACCTTGACGCTGACATCACCCCATCAAGCACGCTTTCAGACGCGTGATAATCAGGTAATGCCTTGTATGAAATTCGAATGCGGGGAAAGTTGTATGTCTCACCCTGCTCAATCCTTTAGGGACTCTCATTGGCGTTCACTGTGGCTGTATTCTTGAAATGATGAGGGGGTGAGCTAGTGAGAGAGGTAGTGCTGAGCGCTCATGACGAGAATGAGAGCATGACGACTGAGTAAGGTAAACCACGAATGAAGGCCAGCCTCGATGGAATGCATTTCGAAAACAAGGAGCTGCAGATAGAATAACTCAATTGAATTTCCCTTAAATCTCGTCTCGTCAGATCAGACCAACCATAACAGCGTCTTCATGGGGGAGGATCAATAGTGCTTATCTATGCATATTTAGATACCCTGGATCTTGTGAGATTGCGAAGAGGTCAGACGCGTACCTGTCCGGGCCGCATCTGATAGTGACCGCCAACATTTGTCTGGTCTTACTTGCAGCTACACTAAGCCCCAATCTGGCAGGAAACACAGGCTCTGATGCCTTGAACGTAACATCAGCAGGGCTGATAAGCTGGGGTAAGACCGCTGTGCCTGTTGGAGTGCCATGCTCCAGTTGGCCATGGGACGATCGAGGCCTCTTCCGCATGTTGGCTGCGCAATATTGATCACCACGACATCATTTAAGCTTGCAACGGCCGGCCTGTCAGCGACGCGATGCAACAGCAATGCTGCATCTCGTATTCGTCTATGTCTTGGCAGTCGCTGCACCGTTGGGGTGCGATAAGTCGCAAAGCTTATATCGTGCCTTCGCGCCCTTCGAGTAGAAAGGTTCCGGGTGTGTGCATATAGAACTCGTTTTCCAGACGTTTGTTTGATCAAGTTCAACGACACGATGCTCGCCTCAATTCTCAAGACCGTACTGTCGGCTGCGGCTGTCGTGTCAGCGTGCACACCTCCGACGGAACTTCTTTCCAACAACATCACCGAGGGCTTCGGAATTCAGATTCAGAATGCTTCAGTTCCCATCATTCACAATCGCTACATCAACTTGTGGTCAGCGGGTGGCGGTGACCAGCATCTCTACTTGAGCCCCGCTGGAGACTCTGCTTTCAACTTGACTCTAGTCAACGGCGTGCTGTCGCGGGGAATCATCCATGCCGTCATCAATGGAGAGGTAAGCTAATCGGTCGAGTTTTGGCATTGGCGTTTCACTGACAGCTCGTAGTACACTGCAGACGACAACACGACCAAGATGTTCATGACGGAGCGCGGAGACCCCAAGGCCTTCTTCCAGCCTGTCTATGGATGCAACCCGGACACGGATGCTGTTCAGGTCGAGCTGGACTTCGTTTCTAGGGCCGCTGTTCCAGGTGGTTTCATCTGCTTCAGAAGTGCGTCCGGAGACAGGCACGAGGCAAGATACTCGCCTCCCGGTAACACAGGTAAGCTTCTCTCTTTCCATTTCTTGAACAACCTTTCTCTCTGGACGGCACGTTTCCACTCCTCTCTCTCTCTCTCTCTCTCTCTCTCTCTCTCTGCGATGTGAGCTCGGAACTGACAGATACCTTAGTCATCAGAGCAGACCGTCCTTGCTACGAGGTTACGCTGGCTGTGGTTCCTGCTCCGGCAGCGTAGAAAGAACTGAAGGCAAAGGTGTCAACATTATGAAGAGAACTGGATGCTTCGATTGAACAAACAGAAAGTCTAATTGAGTTGATGGATCCTGAGCCAATAATTTGACTTCATAGAATTCAACAGCTTGATCTTCTGTATTAAATACCTTGATGTAGTGAATTGTTACCTTGTGAATCGATCCAAACCTCAGAATCATTAAACAGAAGTGCACAAGGTAAAAGTCGCTAAAAGTAATAATTAGGGCGTTATAATAATAAGTCCTAGTGACTAGTTATCTATTCAGTATTTTTCAAAGGAGAATTGATGCAATACTAAGCATGTTTTGTACGTAGAGGGCCAGTAAACATTCGCACCTATTAGGAGGCTTGACGCATCATTAACTCACGTGAAACATGCGCGCCGAAAGCGCTGTGGAATCCTTGCCGAGGTCCAACTCGCTTGCTTAACAGCGACCCTCCGACTTGCAACCAACAACTCATCGCCAAATTCGTTCCATCACACAACAGCAACGCCTCTGCAATTGCTTCTTCTCGCCAGGAGCTGTAATTCATCATGAGTCGAGAGAATGTCGAAAACTTACCCCAGACGGTCGCTGAACTAGAAGCCCTCCCTTGGTGTCGGGCACTCCTCACAAGCCCAGGAGTCACAACTTTCATTCCACCATCCCGCGTCCCAGAAAATGCCAATCCACACGACAGGTTCTTTGGTAAAACACTCAACAACTCGACTGGTATACCAGCTTGCATCAGCTTTCATACCGAGGCCCCGGGTCGATCTGTCATCATTGAACTCTCGTCCCTATTCGCGCTTTCAAGAGGGGTTGATGGCTATCCCAACATCGCGCACGGTGGCATGACTGCAGTGCTCATCGACGAGGTCCTTGGTGTCTTGATTCAGAGAAATATGGACACAGAGCGAGAGGGCCCGATCTTCAAGATGAACACAGTGACTTCTTCGATGAACATCAAATACCTCAAGCCTATCAAAACGCCAGGTGTTGTGCTGGGAACTGGGCAAATCAAGGAAATCCGTGGCAAGAAGATCGTGCTTAGAGCTGTTCTCAAAGACGCAGATGGTGTGGAGCTGGTGGTCTGCGACTCAATATGGATTGGTATCCCTAGAGTAAAGATGTAACATGCTTTTAGAATGGGTTGGGAAGGACATGTAAATACGCCTGCACCATTCAGAATTTGGTCAACACACATGCAACTTCCGGCCTGCATCGTCAATTCACGAGAGCAGAAATTTGGCAGGGCTTCAGGTGTCTAGATGTGATTTCCATATGGTTTTGAGGCAGCTTCGACTCTGAATTTTTGCAAGGCTAATACCTTCAACATTCCGGACTTTACAAGCTCTTTAGGTACCATCCTGTTTGTGTTTCGAACTTGCAAGACGGTGTTCACTGACATCGAATCGCGACTCTGCGACAGTTCAAGCCTTCCAAGCAGTATCCAGGATTTCCTTCACAGTCCAAGCCTTGATGTCAGGGAAAATCTGATTGAGAGTCTTCTTTCCAGCAGGAGGAATATCGAAGATCCCGTTCTCAAACCAGAGACCAAATACAGCAGCCATACCCTGGTACGCCTCTTTGGGGAAGAACGCATATGCAGGTATTTGGCCAGGGAGTTCTGTCGCCTGGCCAGTCTTCAGTTTCTCAACGCTGTCATACGCAACGTTGAATTTGGTGCCTTGTGATACGGTCAGTCAGTTCGAAACATCTCTGAACTTGCGGATGCAATGAGAGCATACCTTTGGCAGCCTCTGCCAGCTGGACGAATTCATTTAAAGTGACCTTATCACCAACAATGAAAGTGTCAGGCTCCCACTTGTCCAGATCCAGAGCAGCAGCTACAAATTTGCCCACATCTTTGGTGTGGGTGAAAGCCGAGGGTGTGTTTCCCGATCCTGGGATAGCTGCGGCGTTGCCTGGAATGTCGATAAAGAGAGTAAAGGGACTCATGTTGGAGGGGACAGCAGGTGTCGCCCAGTAGTCAAGGAAGAAGCCGTTGTGGACGACGGTGTACTCGAGATCCTTCGTCTCCTTCAAGAGGGCGGCAGCGCGAAGTTTGTTTGGAACAGAACCCAACTGGCTGCTTTGTCTTTGTTGATTGTAAGCGACTGCGTGCAACTCAAAACATTTCCCATCTTGAGTATGAACTTACTCCTCGGTGTGAGGGGCACCCCATCCGCTGGAGATCATTCTCTTGGTCGACGCTGATGCATCGGCGGCGCGGATTAGCTCGAACTCAAGGGGAGTTTCTCCTGGTGGCGGTATCATGGTGATAGCTGAGATGACCGTGTGGACATTGTGCTCCTCCAGAGTTTTGGTTGTGGCTTCCACATCGGCGTAATCAACCACCACAATCGAAGCCCCGAGTTCCTTCTCCAACTCGGGGTTTGCCTTGAGAAATGGGTCAGCACTTATTCCAAACTAATCATCTCTGGTATTGATTACTACCTTTCTAGCGAGGATCTTGACTTCGTGCTTGCCAGTGGCCACAATTGCCTCGACCAAAGTTCGGCCTACGTTCCCCGTGCCTCCCGCGACTGCGATGACTGCCATTTTGTCACTTTGTGTGTGGTGGTTCCGAAATGAGATCCTAGATAAAGGTACTCAAAGTAATCAGGTGGATGGTTAAAGATTAGAGTTGCTTTTGAGTCGCTCCACGACAATATTAGTAGCGGTGATGGCAGTGGTTCTTATAGAGATTTCGTCAACTGCTCTGCAGATACACATTTGCAGTATTACAGTGAACACTCCGCTGGTTGCCAGCGGAGTTTGTAGTGGTATATCCCCTCATGGCCTTGGCGGCGGAAGCAAATAAGGTTTCTAGTGGTGTATCCCCTCATGGCCTTGGCGGCGGAAGCAAATAAGGTTTCTAGTGGTGTATCCCCTCATGGCCTTGGCGGCGGAAGCAAAAAAGGTTTCTAGATTTTGTATCCGTAAAGGCGGATTCAATTGACATATGAAGTTCTAGTTGTTATCGACTTGGGGGAATCATGCACGAGATCCTATCCAAACATCTCGGCGACAAATTGCTTCCGTCAAACCATTGAAGGATCCATAACAAAAGTGTGCAGACTCCAAGGCGCCCAAAGCGGTCCTGTCCCCCCCATACGGAATAGATTACTTGCGGGAAGTTCCCTTTGCGGCGGCTTGACTGAGTCGGACCTGGGCAGCCTCCTTACCTAACCCTCTTAGCACGGATGCATTTTACTTCCGGAAATTACGTGACCGGGCCAATCATGAAACTACTTTCTCTTCTTCTCTCATCTTCACTGAGAGTTTTCTTGGATTTTGCCCGATCCGATTCCGAGATCTTGTTCAGATTCCCAACTTACTCCTCGTTTGCGGACTGCCGGCTACTATTCGGAGCCGAGGTGTTATTAGCATACAGCAACGCGCCGCCCGGCCGAGTGGGTCGCTCAGTCCGGACGCATTCCCGAAACAGCCGTCCAAATCTCAACTGAACCGTCCGGGGTTGGCGTTCCGGCTTCCCCACACCTCCGCGCAGCGGTGTGGCACACAAACATACATGCTTTGCCATGGACGCCATGGATACTGAGTCCGTTCAGAGCGGACGGACCCAAGACAAAGCTTTCCGCATCGCGAAGGTTTGTAAGTCCCTGAAGTTGGTTCAGCAACAGCTACTTACATGTGGAAACGAAGGCTTGTCTCCGATGCCAATCGAAAAAGATCAAGTGCGATGGAAGAAATCCATCCTGTACTCCTTGTGTCAATCGCAGTCAGGAGTGCGTATACCAGCAGGTACAAAGGCGCCGTGGCCCCGGTCGAAGGTATGCTTAAGTCACATGCCATAACCTGCTCACTTACATGCTTTATTTCAGTATTGGGTGAACTTCGGAGTTGACTTAAGAATGTAGCAAAATGTACATCCAAGCTTTAGAAGAGCGACTCTCAAAAATGGAAGCTGTACTCAATCAAGCTGGGCTTCCGAGGCCGGGGGCACCACCGACCAGGATATCGCCTTCAGAAACTGATGCCGCGTCTGTCTCCGTGTTTGCCGGCCCGGTCATGCCAAACAGCACAGTTCCGATACCGAGCCACCGACTTGACGCCGCGCAAGTAGCAGCCAGTCACGTTCCATCAGATCACCCAATGGGCGATGAAGTGGTATCGCCGGCGCCTGATTCAAGAAGTAGCCAAACGCCCGTTCCTCAGCCTCGAGAAGTTCCCGAGCCGCCGTCACAACTATCAGGAAAGATGCCAGTCTTTGCCGTCATTGAGAGCCGTTTGAGAGAGGTCAATTCCGCCTCTTATTGTTCTACGTTCAACAGACAAGTCTTTACCCCTCGACTCGAACGGGAGGAGGCCATCACCATTTTGATGCCTCTCTATGACGACGCAATCAGCAATTACCCGCTTTTGAACTTTCACTACTTTGTCCGCCATTTCGAAACATTACCACAAGCGGGCGACACTTTCAACAGTACTTCAGGTTGGGCATACATGAACGCCGTCATTTCTGTGGGAACGCGATGGAAGACCATCAACAGTGCATTCCAGGAAGTCTGTCAACTAGCCTGGCCTTTCTTCAAGAACGCATTTTCTGTCCTTACAGAGCTGATGGTCAAGGGTAGTGACTTGCTGTCGGTACAGGCCATCGTCGCCATGGCAGTTTTCATGCAAGGAACTACATGCACCAGAACAGCGACTCTCCTATCTTCTGCCGCAGTAAGACTGTCTCAAAACATCGGGCTACATCGGAAGCCTTGCACAATGATGTCCATGTGCGCTCAGGATGTTGAGGCGCGGATTCGGGTGTTCTGGGCGGCCTACATACTCGATAAAGAAACGGGTCTCAACCACGGCTTAGACTCGATACAAGACGATGATGACATTGAGACGGAACTGCCTAGCGGTTGGGGAGACGGCGTTGACATATTGAACCTCAGAGCTAAGCTCGCGATGGTAGAATCTTCGATCCGGAGACGATTATACACGGCAAAAGGACTTCGCCTTTCCGATGACGACTTGATCAAGGCCATTATCGACCTAGATGCTCTCCTTGAGGAATGGAGGTCAAGTATGCCAACAAACCTCCAACCATCATACGAATCCCCTGCATTGGGGTCAGACATTGCCCCAGATATCCTGAATCTGCAGTTGGCCTTCTATAGGTGCACAATGATGGTACACTGGGCTGCGAGACGGCATAACCAATACTCGACCGTAGCTGTTCTCATGGGAACGTCTGCTGGGTTCGAAATGCCCTACATCCAGCTGTCCTTTTCGCAGAAGCGGTGCCGCATGGCGGCGCACGCGACCTTGGGCCTATTTCGGACTATTTCAACGCCTCAGTACGCAGACCTATGGTAAGCCTTCGCGCTCAAAGCGATTACCCTTGTCTGAGACACTCGGCTCATATTTGCAGGCGAATCTTGTGTTACCCCCTTTGCGCGAGTATCACTCTCTTGACGGATGTGCTCGAGACCCCAGGCTCTGCCCGCGCTCGAGGAGATTTGGCGGCAACGAGAAACTTCGCTCATTTCCTTCAAAAGTTCGAAAAGTCTGAAGGTTGCGATTTGAAACGTGTATTGACGGCGTGCGCCATGATGCAGCGAACGGCGCAGTATGCTGTCGACGATGCCCAGAACATAATGCGCGCCCAGAATTTGGTCGGCAACAACGGCGGTGGTGTGTCACTCATACCGGGTTTTAGTCTCAGTGAAGATGCACAGGTGAGACATCAGCTGAATTGCAAGCTTAAGCCACGACCACAGACTAACGTTTCTTTTCTTTTGATACTCAGGTTTTGCAGTCTTTGCTCGGCACGGCAACACATCCGATGTATCTCGTCCAAGGACTTATGGGAAATTTGCCCAACCGAGACCAGAATCTCACAATGAGGCTTGCGCAACTGCTTGGTACTCCGTTTGAGAGTGGCAAGCCTGGCAGTCCACTCGGATCTCAGCCTTTGCAGCCGGAGACATACGGCTTTGGTTTCGGCCAAGGTCAGGCTGGTAATGACCCGACGGCCAACTGGTCTTGATACTGGCAGGTTTCGTCTAGGAGCAGACCGATACTGCACGGTTGTACCGTGTTTAATGACCGGCATTACACGGATTTAGATGCGCTTGCTTCGGAATACAGAAGGTGCCTGAGAAATCCCGAGACACTGTCACATGAGCATCGGGTACTTGAGTTGAGCCAATCTACCGGCGTTCGTTCAAGCAAAGCTCTAAAATATTGGATGGGATTTGAGGCCAAGGGCCCAAGATGTGGCGCGCGTATTCATCTATCTACCGCGCCGCAGACTTGCTTGTATGTATGCCCGGATACGAGCCTGACCTTGGAGCTCGGTCTTCTCATCAGTACATATTCGCTCTTGAGTTACGTTTCTCGCAAAACAAGGACGTAAAGTTCTCTGTAACTATTACTAGGCTTGCAATCAATCATCGCTGGATTATAATAGTCATTCGAGGTAGAATAAAACAAAGTCGATCAATCCCTTTTAGTACCTCGGTAGATTATCCAGAAGCCAAGTGTCTCTGCCAAGTTGTGAGCTGCCGTTAGCCGCCACGGCATCCGGAGGCCGGGGTGTAAGGGCCTCCTCCATTCAATATGTCTCATCGTCGAAGACCCATCATTTCTTCAATATCATACAAGAAGTCTTTCCAAGGCGAGCCATAGCCCCTTGGCACATGATGCTGTCCTATGGGAAGGGGGAATGGCCACACAATCTCGGCTTTTTGCCGCCTCAGCTTGACTTGTCTTGAGCCCAATCGCAGGGCAAACGCCGCGTCACCTCAGTATTCTAAGGAGTAAGCATTTCAGCAAGGAGTTCCTATGATTGAAGAGGAATATTTCTATCCCATGGGAACAGCATAGGAAGGGATCAAGGAAGGTATCTTCACCTTGTACCTATTGTGGTAGTAGGAAGGTTTTCAAGGAGATATCTGGGAATACCATCACTCGGCAACGACGGCAGACAACTCGAAAAGGTTGCTTAGATTGCAATGTACCATTATTTATTAATAAAGATTGCTGGTACCTCTGGCAAACTCAAAATCTGTAGGAAACAGAGGTACTACAGCCCTATTGTTTAACTTTATAGATTTGCAAGCCCTTATTGGCTCTACCCCGCCCTTGGCGAAAGTGCTGTCCATCCGCACCCGATGGGATAGCCCGTCTAGGCCGTGATATATTTCAAGCTGATTAATGTCTCGAATGGATACCTGATCAAACTCAGTACCTACCTGGGCGGACTGGTTCGATTATGCTTCGATAAAGAGGATGTTCTCCTTTTCCCTTTTTGTCAAGCGTCTGGTCTAGTTGCGGTATCATGGGCTCGAACTTCTCGCGTTCACTCATTCAACTTACCTGGGGATTTCATCCTCCTTCGTCAAATCTTTCTCCTGGCAAGAAGTACCTCAGTGAAGAATGTCAGTCGTCAAGGACGTGGCACTTGGCATCATGGCCTGGACGAAGACGCCGCGCACCCCGACCTACAGAAAGCTCAATGTCGAAAGTGATGCTGAAGCTTTGCGGTCTCCCGGTCCATATGTCAACCAAATCTTCTCACATAGACTCCAAAGGACGTCTCCCAAAGCTTTGTTCAAGCTTGTTGTCCCAGTTCTTCTCTTCTCTGGGCTACTTTTTGCCGTTGTTAGTACACCTTCACCTCACCAGGTGACAGCCCTAACATATTCAGAGCCGTACAAATATCACACAATACATACCCGATCCGAACAGAAATGTGCTATCTTCGTTACCGCCGGTGGAGAAAGGTGGCCAGCGACATCTCAGAATAATCGTGCCGGCGGATGGTCCATCGCCAGACCTATGCAAAATGCTCATGTCGGGTATTGCATCCGGTTATCCCAGCTCGGTCATTGTCAACTGGGGCCGCGACTTTCAAAAATCTCCTGGAGGGTTTGGAGGCTCTCATCTCGGCAAGATCGATGGCACTCTCGCGTTCCTTGATTCTATCACCTCCGAGGAGGCTCCAGATGACGAACGCCTAGGACCAGACGACCTTGTCCTTCTCGTCGACGCCTACGATGTTTGGTTCCAGCTTCCACCATCCGTCCTCATTCGACGATACATGGCGCAGAATTATGCTGCAGACGAACGCATTCGCAAGGACTGGGCAGGATCTCGTTCTTGGTTCTCATCGGACTCGAAAAAGAGCCTCGTACCGCGGCAATCCATCATCATTTCGACCCAGAAGAAATGCTGGCCTGATGCAAGTCTTGGTTCTGACCCCCACTGTGACGACCTTCCTCAGTCCAGTGCACGGGAAGACATGTACGGCCCCCATACGGACGAAGACCCCAAGCAAATACATGACCTTCGCCCACGGTACGTCAACAGCGGAAGTCTTATGGGTCCTGTCGGGGATATGAAGCGCATGTTCCGTCGTGCACAAGAGAAAGTCGATGAAAAGCAAGCTGCCGGTGCAGGGATCTTCAGCGACCAAGGTATTTTTGCCGAGATCTTTGGCGAGCAAGAGATTTGGCGGACTTCCAAGCGACAGAATCACGATGACTGGGTGAAACTCCAAGCTGATCATCCTGAAAAAGCTGCTCAGGAAGCTCAGCAAAACGACTTCAATGTCGGTCTAGACTACATCCAAGATCTTTTCACTCCTACTGTGTTCGAAGAAGACGATGGGCTCTACATCGTGTCATCGGATGGTCCTGGACTTCGACAAGCTGCTGCTGATAGAGGCATTGATCCACCAAGGGTGGCTGGCATCCCAGAAGACATGCTTGGTTTACGCAGCCCTATCCAAGAGTCTGACATCGACAAGACTATGGGATGGCAGGATCTTCCTCTTTACACAGATTTCTGGAGCACTTCGGTGCCAGTTGTGGTACACCACAATGCCCATCGCAATGGGTTGAAAGGCCAGAGACTGCGCGATTGGTGGAAGAACAACTGGTTCTTTCCTTATCTCCGAATTTTGTTAGAGCTGCACTCAAAACCCCGAGAGGCTTTGGAGCCGCTGTTCAGAGCTCCGGGCCGCAATGGGGTGGAGGACTTGGTCTACAAAGCACCAGCTGCAGATGCTAAGAAAAGGAAACCCCGCATCTTCAAGAAGCAGGACCTCAAGGAGCAAGGGCTAGCAGAAGCAGACTGGAACAGTTTGTGTAAGTCTGAGGGCCATGACGAGTGGTGGAACGAGGTTTTGCAGGACAACGAAGGGCCTCTTTAGTACAGAGGGCCAGCGTGTTACCTTTGTACGATGTCGTCTTCGTTTCAAGTAACTATACTCCTCGATAGAGTTTTCAATGAGTTCAAATGGCTATAAACCGCACTTCATGGCTCAGAGCTCTTTTTCCAGCGTTGAATCGACCTAAGAGACAAAATATACTTGGGGTTTCAAGGATGCTCAACCATCTGGATTGCTGCATTGTTGGCCCCTACATGTATTTATCTATCATTATTGTGCTACATGTACACAACAAGGAGCAGCATTCTTTTCCGACAACTCGTTTAAAGACATTGACCTGATGCACAGTGGACTCTTGCGGGGAGATAGCCGAGAGGGGGGGGGGCACGTTTGAGCTAGAGCCCAGGGACGCAGGTATCGATGCCCATCATCGACAGCGAGTAGTACAGTAAAAAAGTATCCGATGAATAACAAACGCAATCTCGATTCACCTTCACCCGGGGGGAATTATCTTGGCGTAGAATATAGTGCTCGTCACAGAGTATCAATATCTTACCCCGTAGGCCGCCTTGCATACCACTTCTTTCGGTTCCCCATTAATCTTGTGCCTTGGCCCCGAATGTTTCGATGACAATACCACAGTCCGAAGGTGAAATGAAACGCTGTGAGCTGTGGGATGTCCATGACTTCGTGGTTGGAATGTATGCACGGCAAGCGGATGAGACTTGAGTAATGGAGAGTTTCGGCTCGTACCGAACATGATGATATCACGCCTCTTTTCTATGCAACTTTCAACATACCTAGGTACTTTAGTTTCTGCTACTATTGGCTCTGTCTTCTCATATTAAATCAATACCCACGGTGTCAGGAGTCGTCCCACTCCTAGGCCCGATAAATACGAAGAGAAAATAAGTGTTGGCTGCATGTGCGTGGCTTCAAGTTTGGACCAGATCCAAACCACAGCCTGCTTCCCCAGCCCACGAGCAATTGCGGACCGGTAGAGGCCGCGCCAGCTTTCTCATCAACAAAGGACTACGTCGAGAAAGGTCAGATCTTAGCCCGTTACTCTAACCTTGACTCTAATGCTAGCAGCTAGCCTCGTCCAATTGAGTTCTTGCAAGGCCAACTGCATCCACTGGCAAAGACAACGTCTCGTTGAGCCCCTACTTCATAGAATCTTACTTAGGACAGTTTCATTCACCTCAGAAATGAATTTTACGTCCATTTACTATCTTGAGTAATTCAGGGTCCACTTTGTTGGAGGATACCTAATCAACGTCGTCACGAGGCCTCAAAAGCGCCTCACAACTCTCTCACACACCCACCGACGCCTTGAGGCCCCGGCCTTACCACACCCCTCTCTCTTCCTTCCTCCTTTATCTTCTATATAAGAAAATATAAGAAAACAGAAAAATGCTCGCGTAGGCAAATATGCCTCCGAGGGCCGGTTACTTGTTGCGGCAACGCCGTCTGTGGACGGCGTAGGGCTGCTAGAGACCCATTCGCTTCTGCCGAGTCAGGGACCCCCTGCTGGCGTGCTTTTTGGAACTGAACGGACCCTGGGGATTAGATACTAAACTCCACTGCTCTAGGCACGAGAAGAAAAGTGTACATTATAGACTGCCTGACTTGTCGTACGCTATAATGGCGGCACGGCACATCATATGCCCAAAGGGCGCTCTGGTTGATCGGAGCTTAGTTACATAGATAGCTGGGCACCTGTCCCTGATGATGTAAAACACCACTACTACTACTACTAGAGGCCTCAAAAGCACCACCAACCGGGGTTTTGAAGTGCGGAGAGCCATATCATCCCAGTGCATTCTGAATACTCATTGATATTCAAGCCTGTCAAATTCACTAAAACATAGTTCCTGTATGGTTGTGGAACTGAAGACGGATTCGGCGATCGACAGGGAGGGAACACGAGCTCAGGGTGCTATTTTGAGACGGCCAGGCAGCAGCATTTAGAGCGCTACATTTCCCCGAAGGATTCGACTGCCAGAAAGGGCAACGGGCTCGTAAAACCGAAGGAGACAACTGGTCGGCACATGTCTATTCTGCATGGCAACAGTGTCTCTGCCACGATGCAATTGGTCCTCATTGAAAATGCCGAACAACATGATTGGTAGTCCCTTAACATCAACTTACAGCGATGCATTCGGCGATATGCAACTGACGTGTGGCAGACTACAGATGACAGGTTCCGTGTTTCATCAGAGGAACTATCCCAAAGCTGCCGTGGTTATTGGTCAACGGGGTTGCCATCCGTTGGTTGGGTGCCATGTTATTCGAGATGTCGTCCTATATGAATGCGCTCTTCCCAAGTCCTCGATAACCTCCCCATCAACTATCTCCTCTCATCTGAGCATAGTACAACATTCGTTTTGGCTGTAATCCAGGCATGAGCAAGAGTGAATTCGGTAAGGAACACTTATATCATCACTTCGAGGCGGCCATGACCAAGACTGATCAATCCCCTCAGAAACGATGTCGAACGCTCCCGAAGACTTCAGCATCCGATCTCCAGTTCCTCAATACCAAGCAATGCATACTCCCGCATCAACTGCCATCGGCAGCCACGACATCGCCGGACCTAACGTCAAATACTGCCACGTCGTTCACTGCAACCATGGAGAATCTCTCGGAGAAGGCTCCCGGGCCAACGTCGTGCCCGTTGCCCTTGTGGAGAGATGGCCTGCTTTGATCGAGTGCCCTGCTTGCAAGGGGGTCACTCCCACCACGAGGGACCATAGAATTGGCAAAGGAGCGCAGTAAGTCGGACCCGAGCCACAATTCATACGACAACTTGAAACTCTTGACTAATTGATTTCTATAGCTGGATGGCCATTATGCTCTTCTGCACCACCGGTGTTGGTGTGTTCGTGTCAGAGCCCTCCCGGATAGGGGCTAGTAAGAGGTAGTAAGGAGTCCAAGCAACAAAGGAACAGCTCAGATGTATATACAGCGCAGGGAGTACACGTCGAGGGAGGAGCAGACTTCAGTAATTCATCATTCTACCCCTAACTGCAGTTGGCCTCTGAGAGCTTCCACCCTGCGTCAACATCCCAACTTGACAGTTCGCTCCGTACGCCATGAGGCCATTCAAGGACGTCGTTCACAGCTGCCAGCGCTGCGGACGCAAGGTAGCGACTCGGCGATTCGGCGGTGGCACCAAGGCGCACCTTATGTGAAACAGAGATTCATGATCGGACTCGGGGGTCATGCAATCGTGTACTCTCTGATGACTCTTTCTTTTAGTCTTTTGCTTGGGCCCCCGGTGTAGATGAGATACGACTGGTTCGTCATGTGTCACGAGTTATGGCACGCAGCAATGGGCATATGAAGTGGGTTAAAGTGGCTTGAAGTAACCCATCTAGAATGAGCACATAAGAGCAGTCTATATACTAAGAGAGTGTGATATCCACGTGAGAAAGCACGTAGCAAGATGCTTGACGAGTGCTGATACCATTCCTGTTTCGTGACATCATGCCATCTTCTAAGTAAATCTAAACTTCATTCCATCCCGTTCCAACTTTGAACCCTTGTGATCGTCAGGACTTAAGCGTCCTAATGAAGTTCCGCATGAGCATCTGGCACATGCGGCCTTCTTATCGCGTGATACAGGGGAGTCAACAACTGCCGCACAGGAAACGGCAAATGACGTTCTGATTTTGGGTGAGGATGCATTCACACGTTGCATCCCGGTATCAATGAACAGGCGGGGCAGATCCCATCCGAACATAGCTGATAAAGTAAGGTGACTTCAAACGATTGAAGAGTAGCTGATCCTGGTCAAGATCTGTTCAACTTCCTGAAATGGACAATGGGGCACGGCCATTGCAACCGGGCATGGCATCGTCCCATTTTCTGTATGACTGGCTGCAGGAGATGTCTAGATAAGTTCGTAGCCTTTGGGCATAAAAGGTCTGTGTGAGTGCAACTTCTGGGTATTCTTTTCGTCTCGGTAGAGGACGTCACGGCTTCCACACGGCTTTCATCCTCGGTCTGATAGATACAGTCCCAGTGTCAAAACACCGCCGAAATGCATCGCGCCATCTTCATCTTCCCTCTTCTCTTGCTGGCCAATCCAGTATCAGCGGTGACATGGTACTTCCTTCGGTACTACCCCGCGTCCGGTCAGAAGCTCACCTCTTTCTCGGGCGAGATGGTAATCCCATCACTTCCGCGCGTCGGTGTTTACTATCTCTGGCCAGGCTTACAACCAACCGATAACTCTGGCGTGTACCAAAACGTTCTCGATGGCCGGAGTGGAACATGGTGGCTCGGGTCCGGGTGGTGCTGCTCTAACCCGAGTCTTCCTTGGGGCGGAGGCTTCAACACATATGGCGGGGAGACGATTTCGTTCCAGAACACCCTCAAATCGGATAATTCGGCATGGACCAGCACTGTGACGAGACAAACTGGAGGTCAGGTTGTTAACAACGACTTCGCTCTGGGTAAGTCGCCGTTGGATGATCGGTGAGGCCGCATAGTACTGACTGCCTACTTCAGCCGACAAGTCTTTCAACCAAGCGCTCTTTGCTATTGAGTTGTAGATTTCGCACGATGCCAATTCAAGGAATCTTACTAAGGCTTCAAAGGTACGATGTCCCATGGGACTTTGGTCCACTAGCATTCAACAACGTTGTAATCGTATGTCCATTATCCAAGCATCAATCGTGGATCGCAACTGACAGCCCTCAGACATCCGCCGGTAGCTCAGACTCAAGCTGGTGCAACAGCTTGCCGCAAAATTACAACTCGGCAACCAACTATACCATCACCGGTACCAGTGCTAGTGTGAGCGGTGATACTGTCACTTGCAGTATCCAGTCGGTTGTACTACACGCGCCAACATGAGCGATGGCACTGAGATATTGCGACAATGATTGGTATTATTATGTTATTCTAAGAGGGATACTCTTCTGCGGTCAACATAAGGGGATATCAAGAAAAACTAGCTCAACGCTACATATTAGCCCGCAGGCTCATCCATCTCTTGCTCTCTCTCGTGTCTACCATAGTCGTGAACCATAGTCGTGAACAGACGTTATAATCAATGAGTGCGTGCGAATCAAAGATTGGTTTTGACGGAAGATCCGCCACAGCCCTCATCATTGCGTGCCCAACAGAAGCAGTAAAGGCCCAGTGAGACAAGCAGCGATGAAGCAGCTTAGGGAGTGGGGACCTGGGAGGGGTTCCACCAAGGGTAGAACCGCTCGCCCTCGGCCAGGGACTTGAGGGTACACGCGGAACCCTCGCAGCCGGCGCCGATCTGGGTGGTGCCCCACCAGTTGACCTCGGCACCGAGCCACTGCACAGTGAAGAGCATGAGGATGCCCGAGAGTGCAATGCCGGCTGAGAACGAGGCCGACAGGACAAAGTTGTACTTGGACCAGAAAGCCAAGTAGCGGCTTCGGACGTAGATCCAGGACAACCAGGCGATGGGGACGGCGGGCCAGGCGTATGAGAAGCTGTACGGAGCCCAGTTGATGCCTCCGTAGAAGAGAGCAACGGGGTGGAACTGGCGGAGGTAGCGGTTCTTGGGGTAGAACTTGATTAAGTAGTAGAACAGGACCGGCAGAATGATGCCCAAGGGGAAGCCGAGCAGGAGGTAGTTGTACTGTCCCTGGTGACCGAAGACCTTGATAGGTCCAATAGTACCCCAGAGCACGGCAGCGGTGAAGAAGGTGTTGGGTCCGGGGCAGAAGAAACGCATAGGAGCGTCGGGAGTGCAGACGTTGGGGATGTTGATTTGAAAGTTCATGACACCCGTGCAGACGAATGTGGAAATGAGAGTGGCAACCATCTGGCAGGCAAAGGTCTGACGGGGAGGGATCTTGAGGTAGTGAGCCACCTTCAAATCGTTTGCGAAGTGGACGGCGTGAGCGCACGTCACGTAACTATTCCGGCATTATTAGAACCAAGCGCGGTCACAAGAGGAGAGAATTTTGTAAACTTACCCGAAGGACTTGAAGAAGTTCATGGCCAAAGCATTGCCCTGTACCCACATACCACCGATGAACTCGGCCAGAACATTGAGGGTAACCTCAATACCTGTCATGGCCTTGATAATTCCGATGGGGATGACGAAGACGACGGCCAAGAAGATACCATAGGGGACAACGCCCGGCGTAGTGTAAGTAGGCCATGCCGCGACACCTGCAAAGCCGAGGCCTGCAGCGACGATGAGCGTGCCCAGATACCACCACTCGGAAACTGAACCGACTTAGTATTGGTCAGATCTCTTCACTATTGGAGGTCCTTACCTTCAGGGTAAGAAGCCATGAGACGGTTGTGGACGTCCTTGTACTCGCCAGTCTCCTCGCCCTCGGTAACGGTCTTCTTTTGGCGGCGAATGCTGGCCCACATGTTCTTGAAGCCCATCACGATCTCGTAGCGGTGGAAAATTGCAACGTGGGTGACGGCAGCAGCGTAGAGGGCAAAGAATGCGCCATAGACCATGGTGTTGGCGGCTGCGAGGTAAGCGGCCGAATAGTTCATGTACTTCTCATGGTCATACATGCCACGGTCGTCGAGAGCGCGGGAGACATTATAGAGATTGCCGAAGTGGTCAAAGACACGGTTTGAGTTGATCGGGAGGTAGGCAGTGTTCCACGCGTTTGTGTAGTAGAGACCCATGATCACGAATCCGAGCAACCACATGCCGAGAGTGCGGTTGAAGGTGGAAAAGGCAGGAACCATCTGCTCAAGATTAGCAAAGCCCAGAGTAAGATGTCATGAGAGTATAAGATGGTACTTACCAAGGGATCGACACTGTCGAAAAGCCTGTGTAGGGGGAGAATCAAGTCAGCGCGAATTTCATTTGGGTAGGAGTGCTGTGAAATGAGCCGAAGAGGGTCTACTCACATGACGTTCCAGTCAAAGGTAGGCCAGGGGTTGAACATTCCCAAACCGTTACGGAAACCTGTCAAAATCTCCAAGTTGTGGTTGTCGGGCGAGATCCAAGTCATCCAGCTGAAGAAGGTGAGGACTTCAAAGATGTAGTTCGGGAACCAGAAGTAAACAAACATTGCGGCAAAGGACCACAGGAAGAACTTGTATCGAGTCATCGCATACAGTCTCTTGAAAGGTCCCGGCACTGCAATGTTGTTCTCGTTGTGTAGCGCCGAGTTGAGGGCAATGGTGACGAGAGACGCCGGCCACACGCAGTACGAAGGGTACACGATGAATCGGCGAGTGAGTCCTACGTCACTGTTAGCATCAAATCTTCCTCCAAGGTACATCGCTGCATCACTTACCAGCGAGACCGTAGCCAATGAAGTTGGTAGAGAGCGCAATCAGGATCTGATAGGCGAAGCTCTTGGCGTACGGCTGGTTGAAGTATTGCGGCAAGACCTGAGTCCAGACAATGTACTGGGTGTACGGCAGACTCTTTGCAGTATTGGCCATAATGGCAATAAGCATGTGCTCCTTCTTGTTGAAGCGGCCTGGGTTGAGGGGGATTTCGTAACCAAAGACGGAGAAAATGGTGTTCGGCATGAACTTCTCCCATGCCTTACCGAGGGGGAAGGCGAGAAGCTGAGCGACGTTGGATTCGATACTGATGAGGGGCTGACGGATACTGAATAGCTGTTCCGATCGTTAGCCTTGTGCTACGCAATGACGCAGCGATGCTCGCGGTCGACGACTTACCTGGTTGATGAAGGCCAAGAAGACCGAGAAGAAGACGCCAATAGTCCACGCTCGAATCGTTCCGCACGGAAGAGAAGGGTCGTCCTTATTGTCGACGACAGCTCGCACCTCCGCGTAGGGGCTGTTGTTGGTGATCAAAGCAGCCTCAAGCTTCATCTCCCAAATCAGTTGCTCGTGCTTCTCGGGTCTCTCAAAAACATCCTGATTGTCTGCTGTCGTGTCAGTCTCGTTGTTGTCACAAGTCATATCGTATTTGGGCTTCACTCACCAAGGAATTCATGGATCTTCATGAGAACGCTGTGAGGAAAGTTCGGGTCTCGGTTGTGAATCCTCAGGACAGTCTCCATCATCTGCGTCCTGTGTCAATTGCATATCCATGCTACTTAGGTAGTCTTTAATCATACCTTGCGCACTCCTTCCAAGGAGAGGGTGGCAGCGACGGCCTTGGCCTCGATGAGATCATCCTCGGTAACATTAAGATGGCTTGAGGAGTTGTCAGCTCTCCCTATTTGTATGTTCAAGAGCATTTATGAGGTACTCACGCTTCAAAAGCTTCTTCCTCAGAGTTAAGACGGTGGAGCTCCTCGGTATGTGCGCCCTTCACGAGCTGGTCAACTCAATCCATGATATCGTTTGCCGTTGGCACTTACAGCAGCAAGTTTCTCGTCAGTCAGGACGCCCTGATCCCTCCCGATATCAATGGGGGAGACCGACGGGTCGTTCTTCTCGTCGTTCGCCATTGCGCTTTGGGTGGCTGTGAAGTTGGACGTGGATGGAGAGCAAGAGACCACGACACAAAAGTCAGACCCAGTGGCGTGGGACACGGGGATAAATAAACCTTTTGAAAAAGACTGAAGACAGCCAGGTCGCTTATCAGCGGTACCACATGGTCGGCGCCCAGATGCCAACCGGGTACCTCACACATGATGGGCTTCCACATTTGGATTATGCGAACAGGTCGGCAGGTGGCAAGGTATCCAAGCTGATTTTCGGAGGCAGTCCCAGTCTAGGCCGGCTGGGCAACATCTTGGCTGTCTAGTCGAAAGGATCGACCTTCTCGGTCAGGCATTCAACCGATGAGATGGGTGGACAGCAGATATGCAAGAGAACGAGGATTGGTCCGTACAACCAGGCGATTCGTCTCCAGTTGCGAAGACGGCGACCACAAAGTCTCGGCGAGACAAGGAGGCAGGGGAAGCATTTGAGTTGCCAGACAATGACCCAACTGTTGGTCCTTCTTGACGGGACAGAGGAACAGGGAAGGGTGGTCGCAGAAGAAGCAGGGTCTTGGACGAGATCCTTGCGCAGTACAGTTGGATACGTGGGGGAGGGTCAAAACTGGTAGGTTAACGACAAGGCTGGTGGTACGGAGTGCGCGTCTGTTAGACTGTTGCTTCCCACGTTCTGTGCAGACGGGGAAAGATGCGGATCCAACTATACTCTGCTTCCCGTACTTCGTACTCCCGTGTCAAGAGGGGAGGTTTGTTTAGTGTAACTGAGGCGAATTTCGTGGTACGAATACAGATCCCTCTCAGTGAGATTTGCAGTACGCAGTGGCAGCAAAAGGTCTAGTGTCATGATCTGTCTCCGGAATCAAAATGAGGTTTCAAGTGACTCGAGTGACAAACCACGGTGATGATGAGTAAAAACCTCCTATGCCGTCATTCTGAGGAAGAATGAGTCCATTCTCACCAGCCCAAGTCACATGGCAGAGGCAGAGCGACTAGGAGGAGATTGACTTGGACACACAGTCGATCGCGCTATCTCTCCGTGCCGCATTTCAGGTGCCCCTTACGTTAATATCTGAAAAGAGGGAGGCCTCGAGAAGTCTGATGGTTCGCAGTGGAGCTTGTACCCGTGGGAGTTCAAAGTTGGAAGCACGAGAAACGGGAGGGAACTCAATATTCACACGGAACAGGGGTCCAGCCGCAAGGCGTAGAAAAGTGGTTAGACTGAGAGAATGCATACTTGAATTGAGCTAAATGCAGTTTCGCCCAGCTTTACAAAAGGCCGGCGGGTACTTTTGTCATTCTTGGACAAGCATATAAGCGTAAGGAAACGGAAGAGGGCACGACGACAGTCGGATAGATCGTGCGGAGTAGAGACGTGGGAAAAGGGAGGGAAAGGAGCCCCCAAAGTGAGGTGGGCGCTGAGGCTTGTCACGTGTGGCTGTGTGGGGGAAATTAAGGTTAAATTGGCGCTAGCACGGACCATCTACGTACCGATTCGGCTGATGACTGTGGCACATGTGTGGCTGGTGCAATCTACGTACCGACCGGTCATTGCCAGCTGCCCACGCAAGCACCTCCCATTGTGTGAGGGGACGCTTTTCCCAGTGCATCTTCATCTTCACTCAACTCCCCTAACTCTGCCCAGATTCAATACGCGATAAGACTACCGAACAGACGGTATTCCTTCTCGATGCGAGGCCTGTTCTCAGACGACGCTCATCCTACGATCGACCTCTTTGCAGCAATCCCCAAATAGGCGCCATGTCGGGAACTTTTGCCAGTCACTTACGGGCTTATTTTATCCAGGCCGGCCTTCCTCGCATCGCAAAGTTGCGATGGGCGGGGGACAAACATCTCACGGCAGGCCAATGCCGTCTTCAAGGCAAGCTGCCAAAGGGTTTCGTTCTCGGTGGTTTTTCTTTCTAGCGGCCGTTGGTGAACCCCTGCTTCACACCCTGTCTCTGGGTAGTCTCTACTCCTTGTCGGCAGTGCCCAGATCTCGCTCGGGACCAGTCGAATCATCTTGTTGCGTGCAAGTTATCCAGCCGTACCTTCAACGTCCCATTCAGGCAGGAGGTTAAAACCCGCTCTATATAAGAACGGCACCACCACTCTCTTGGCTTTTCTTGGTTTCTCTTGGGATTTGCTTGGAACAAAGCCACCGTCTGCGATTAATCCTCTCCCACCCTCGCTATCAGCCATTCTCTTCGTCGTTGGCTTCTTGGCACATTCTGCTATCATTCTCCTCCTCGTCAGAAACTCTTTTCCAAGCGATACCCCTCACGAGTCACGAGCCGTGCTCCCTCTTCTCACCCACCTCAAATTCAAACACCACCAGAGACAGAACTCAGCGCCAACCGGGACGGGAACGGGTACCAAGTTGCGCCTCACAATGGCATCGATCAACATCTCGGATGGCTGACGTCTCCAGTCTTGTCCTGCTGCAAGTGGCGTTTGTTAGTCTCTTCGCGGAAAAAGGAAGGTCATTCTGGAAGACTGCGAGGAGGGAGGCGAGTTCAGCTGAATCCCGATGGACGACTGTCGACCGCGGCTGTTGCATTATTCGTCAATCACCCCGGGCTTATCGCAATCTCTCGCCAAGCATTGAAAGCCCCCCGATGCTCCAAACTGAGCGGGTTTCTCTCTGTTGGAGTCGTCGTATCCCGGCTCCCAGTCGCTGTAGTACGATCCAACCCCCGATGGCAACGAATCTGTGGTACGGTTGCTGCAGCTGGTCTCAGCACCCCCCTCCAGCTGTTCCACGAGCTTCCTACCTTAGATAGCTCCATGCAGTCCAATCCTGGCGTCGACTTTGTTAGATAGCGACCGCGAATTTCGAGGTCGTTGCCCCACATCCCGCATCTTTATGTGTCGGTTGGAGACGAATGCTCTTGGAGTCTGGACCGGAGACCTTGAAGATTACGAAAGGATGCTTGTTTACCCGTGGCGGACGGAGTCAAATCCCACGATTGGGACGTTGATTTGGCATTCGTCAACCGTCATCACGATTTCTGTGTGGATCGATTCTTCGGGGGCAGAAACATCCTAATAGCGCTTTCGAGAGGCAAAAAGGATGGGCTTGCAACAGCCGGCATGTATCTGCGCCTTGATACCGTTCTTGATATTGCCACATGGATCTTCAATCACAACGTTACGCGAGACAAAACGGCAATGACGGTATTGGCTGTCTGATACTGGTAAAGAATTGGCGAATGCGGGTGCGTATACACAGAGAGTCGTTGCTTGAGTACTATTGTCTATTCCTACCATCAGATCGTCTTGCGAACTGGCCAATCCGAACGACCTCCCTACACGAGAGACGGAGCAGACTTCCTGTTCTAGCAGTTGCGGGATTCTAGCCCAGAGGCCGTATCACGCAGATGTTCAGCTGCGCCGCAGGTGCAGCGGTGTGCGTTCAATTGTCTCAGCCAACCCTTTTTTCTTTTCTTTGGACCTCGGTACCGTACAGCTTCACGGAGACAATTCAGTCTGGTGGTGTCATACTTGAGATCTACTGACATGTATAGGTGGTCCACAAGATAACGCCGTCGCTCGAAACGCTCTACGGAGTACACATATTTGCTATTTGAATGGCACCAAGAACCTGATCCTTCCACCATCCAGCAAAGTTTACATGGCTGATGAAATTTCCATCGGTTGAAACCGCTACTAGGACGTATTCATCGTCCTCAGTCGCGTAGTTCCTTGCTCATATATCACTGCAACGAGCTTGCGGTATACGAGAGCTTGGTGAACTAAACGTGCCGCTTGGCTCAGATCAGGCCTACCTATCATCAGAGACGCAGGGCGAGTTCTGCTAGCGTCTACCAAGAGGCTGCCACTGTCTCCTTTGGACGTCTACCAGCAAAAGGAGGTGAATCTGAGAAAACAGAACCGGCTGGTTGGCACCATTGTGGTGTTGCAGAGACGGACGCACATGATATCCATGTCCCTCCGAATCCCCTAGTCTCTTTCCTTCCTCGACCCTGAAATCCTGTGCCACTCTTGGATCGGCTCAGTCTACCGATGATAAGACTGCTTTCGGTCCTAAACAAGTAGGTGAAATCGTGACAAGTGAGGCAACTTGACCGTTTCTAGAACAACGTGATCAAGGCCGGGGGTCTTCAACCCGAGGTTGTCAAAACCGAAGCAACCCGATGGTGTTTGACGCAATCCAACCGACAACAGGAATCCTCCTGTACTTAGTTCTTGCGCCGAGACTGTGGCAAGTTCGCCTTCGCCGCCGACTTCTACGCAGATATGCATGCTGCAGCCCGCAGCTCGCTCCCCTTCCTAGCCAAGATGTAGTTGGGTCGGTTACTCCGGCGGATGTGCGAATGTCACTGTCATCGTATGCGCTTCGTATGTTTGCTCTCGGAGATCCGCGAGGTTGGGACATTGCTGGCTGGCGTCCGTCGTCAAGGATTCGAGATCTCCCTTATGTTCCTTATCATAGACGGGCTTGGCTTGACATCACACAGGACTGGATATGATACCAGATGCGCTAAGCTGAGTATGGTATCCCATTCTTTCACCTCCCATCTACTCTCAGTTCGGTCACTCTACGCCCGTGGTTGGACAGTAATTTCATCATCGTCAGGGCCGCGTCGTCTATCGTCTCACGTTGTCCCAAATTCCTTTGAGCTTTGATGATCCTTTCCAAGATAAGGGACTTACCAACCATATTGATGGTTGGTCACTCTATGCCGTCCTCACTGACGTGGAAGACGTTTTTCTATTACATCATCTCGATCAATATCTCAATGAACAGATTATTGATTTGGTCAGGCACTTTCACTCACTCTTCCGTGTCTGGTTCGGTCATCCGATGTCCCTTTCTTAACTCCAGTCCAGATCCATGAGATGACTATTGGCAACTCTGCGATTCCGTCTCACCTCACCGAGGAGGTCGCTTGAGTGTATGCGTCTGAAGGCATGTTGAACAAGTCACCCAACGAGTACCGATGAGAGACCAACTCCTATCGACTTGGACGGACTATCGTTATGTT